GAGCCCTCACACCTCCATCATCATCTGGGAGCCCTCACACCTCCATCATCTGGTTCCAGAAATCATCAACATTTTGTTCACTTTGCAACTCTTTAAAGAGCAAAAGTAGGAATTTTTGTTCTTTTCAAAGGTATGGTCTCATTTCTTTCTTTTATTAGCCCTTTGAGGTTAGGGATACATAACCACCAGAATGCTGGGTAACTTCTTTAAGGTCATATATGACCTGTGGTGAATTCAAGACTTTTGCTCTTCTCATGACCCTGTGGACTCTTACCTACTTTACAGTTGCAAGTCAAAAGTAGATTGGTAGTCCATGACCCAGTATCTGTCCTCCACCCTTTCCAGTTAAGAGTCTTTCCTCTCATTTTCTGGTTTCACATAAGCACACATGCATGCATATGCACAAATGCGTGCGTGTGCGCGCGCTCGAAGACACACACACACTTTTAAATCTATATTTTAGAGAAAATGTGTAGCATTCGTCTTTCTAAGAAGTTTATGTCTCTCTCTATATAATGATTCCTAGTTCATCCCTTTTCCTGCGAATGCCATGCTTTTGTTTTATTTATGGTTGGAAATCCCACTGTGCACCATTTTTAAAACCCATCCCTGTCCTGGCTGGCCAGGTGGTTCCACTATTCCAAGTGAAGAGTGCAGCAGGAAACACAAGGAGGTGTTTGAGCACAGGCCTAGTGGTGCTGCAGGTGACGTGCTAGCTCTGACTTTGGTACATGAGCTGCCCCTTAGTGCTGCTTGGCTGCACACGCCCACCAGCAGCGTTTAAAGGCCCTCCTTTCCAGCCCTCAGCACTGTCTCTAGTCCCATCAGGATGACATGAAAAAAGGAGGAGAAAGGAAGAGAACCAGGGGCTGGTGGCACTGGGAGGGGGAGGAATTACAGCAAAGTATAAAGATTCCTGTATGAGCATGCCATTATGAGAGCCGTCGATTGGTAAGGGAGAGTGATGGAGATATGTTCTCTTCACATACCTTTCAGGAACCATGTTGTTCTACAAGAAAGTGCGCAGCATGCCACTCGCTTCATAGCGCTGGCGAATGTTGGAAATCCAGAAAAGAAGAAGGTAAAGATTTGAGGGGTTGGTTGGTTACTCGGCCTTGAGAGCTTCCGGCCTCCAGAAGTCCTCCGTAGTCCTGAGTCCCAGCAGCTTCAGTGACTCCTTGTAAAGGTTAGGTTTCCTTGAGTGGTTTGTAGGAGGTCTTAGAGAAAGGCATGGTTCCCTGGGATGTGACAGTATAGGACATGGTCTTCCTTTCCTTCCACATCCATGTGCGTGCCTCTGTTGCTGCACGGACGCTTGCCTCAGGTGAGATACGTACCTCTTTCTAGCAGCTTCAGTGAACTGAAGTAATCAAGTCCTGTCAGAATAGTCAAGCTGGGCATAGTGGTGCGTGCCTTTGATCCCAGCACTCAGGAGGTGGGGACAGGTGGGGACAGGCAGATCTCTGTGAGTTCCAGAGTCTACAGAGTAGTGAGTTCCAGGCCAGCCAAGGTTACATAAAAAAGACCCTGTAGCAACAACAACAAACAAGCAAAACAAGTATGTATGTATATATATATATATATGTATATTAGTACTTCCTTAGCTTTTTGAATTAGTAGTTATACCCGTAATCTAGAAAATAGTGCAGATGGTGAAAGAAAATAAATCAAAAAAATAGGGTGTATTTTTCACTTCCTGGGAATGCTTTGCTAATGCTAAAGGTTGGACTGTTGAGTGAGACAGCTAAGACAGAGGAAGCAGTGAACTGAGGGAATAGGCAGGATCTTCCTCTGTGGCTGATTGCTCCTCTAGAGCACACCAGAGTCAGTGTTCGTGAGATAAGTAAACTCCTGTCCCTTTTCTATATTTTGAGCTTTGAAGTCCATTCATAGCAGGGCTAGACTGTGATGTTTGAAGCTGACCTTTCTCACTGAGCAGAGTTCTGTGATTTCAGTCTCTTGCTCGGTCTCAGAGACACATAAGGAGCTCATTGTAGTCACCGTGTTCACGTGACAAGTACCATCCATCTCAAAACTGTTCTAATCTGCAGCCTTCCCAGCAGTGAATATTTTTCTTTTTCTCTTTTCTATACTCTGACCTGGTATACCAAATGTCGCTACCCCCCCTTCAATTAGACAGAACATAAAAATCTGTCCTTATGACTTCAAGTTCCATTATTTTGTTGAGGTAAAACATGTATTTATGCCATTAGCCCAAGATTTATAAAATACATATGAATTGTTTTCTTGGTTGCTGCTAGTCTTTAAGGAATGGTATCTGCATCTGTGAGAATTGTGTCAGAGAGGGGAGGTTTACCTTTCCAGGTGGATGTTCCTTAAGAAAATAGAATCAGAGTTCCATGGTTCTGTTGACAAAGGTCACATAAACAAAAGACAGGAACAGTTTGTCTTCAAGGCTTACAGAGCAAGTCCCCCTGAGCCTTATAGTAAGGGTTGTCACTGTACCCGTCTCCAAGTGAAGAACGTAGTCTGTCTAAGGGCTGGAGCTTTGATCTTGTCCTCATTACTGTGTGAGCCTCCTTAGCCATTGCAGAGGCTGGCACATCTGCATTTGCTACACCGCTGTATCACTACGACAGGCTTGTGATTTTACTTAATGTCGGAGACTTCCAGTGGAATTGTCATCATGACATGGGTTGATCACAGTGAGACACAAGCCTTTTCCCTGACGTTGCACTCTTGTTTTTTCCCTGGAGTATCTTTATGCCTTCAGTATTGTTCCCATGAAGCTGATGGCTGTAGCAGAACTGGTAAAGCAGCCTCCGGATGTCACTGAGAACCCTTACCGAGAATCGGGGAAACAGACAGCTGCAGGAAAACAGATTCCTGCCCATCAGGTAAGCTCCAGTTGTAGGCTGGCATTCAGGCCAGTTGCTCTCTGCAGGCGTGCCTTTCCTGCTTATAGTTTCATACACTGAACAACTTCAGGTTTTGACTCTTAATGTTTTCCTCTTAGCAAATCATGATAACATTTAGAAGATCCTGCCCACTGGTAGGTGTGCACATCTTTAGTCCCAGGAGAGGCAGGCAGATCTCTGACCTCTTGGCTAGCAGGGTCTACAGAGTAAGTTCCAGAACATCCGGGGCTACACAGAGAAACTCTGTCTCAAGAAAACAAACAAACAAATAAAAAAGATGAAGATGAAGAAGATTTACTTTGAAGAAGCTTGTTAATTGCAGACTTTAGAAATTAATTTTCTCCCCACTAAAGCAAGGCCGGTCGGTCACATTTCCTTGTTAGAGTTCATAGTCTGTTTCCTTGGACTTTTCGGTCCACTCCAAAACCTTTTCCTGCATCCTCTTTTGCCTTTGCCCCGAGTGGCTTGTCTTCTCTCCTCTTCAGTTGAAGTTGGATCAGATTTGCTTTGTTCTGAAATTTCAGGGCTGCTTATGTCATTGGGAGAGAAATGGAATTGGGTTCATACTGCCCCGGCCTAAGGAAATAGTGCTCTATATCTCGTGTTTAACTTATTTTTCAGAAGCTATAGATTTGGTACTGGTTTTGGATAGGTATGCTGAGATGTGGGCCTGGGAGCCCCACAGGTATCAGGGTCGGGGTTTACTTGACTTCCCTTGAATAGGAAGGAAGGGGAGAGGAAGCAGATGTGAGTGACAAGGAAGTTGCCTTCTGCTTGCTGCTCGGTTACTTGTCTGTGGGCTTGCTGAGTAACATCCTCCCCATTGACCCTTCCAGGAAGAGTCAGCCTGTCAATTCTTCTTCGATTTGAATGAGAAGCAGGGAAGGAAACGGTCATCCACAGGCAGGGATAACAAACCTCCTCACGCTAAGCAGCCTCGCAAGCTTCGTAAGTGCTCTGCTCTCCCTGGAGCGCAGTAACTCTCTGGGGGATTGTTTGGAAAGTTGCATTACTAAGAGCATCTTCTGGCAAAGAAAAACTTCACGGAGCCATTAGGAGCAAAGTGAAAATAGAATGGTATAAAAATGGCCTGACTCTGGGCTGAGACTCTTCCTGTAGGGACTAGAGAAAAGCTCTCTGTCTGTGTAAAACATGGTAAGTATAAAACTGATGTGAGTTCATACAGTAATAGCAGACCCAAGCTGAGGAAAAGGACTTCCAGGCTGCTTCGTTGAGATCTTCTTCACCCTGTTGTTTTAAAAAGGAAAATCTGAGCTTAGGAAGGTAGACCCACGGTTTTGTGGCTAGCTGATGTCAGAGCTAGGACTAGAATTGGGGTGCCTAACTGCCCCCCACTCAGGTGAATGTTCTCTCATTGTAGCCTATTGCCAGTTTGTGTGCTGCTTTAGTCACTAGATGATCGATTTGTGGACCACTTACTTGTGGATCGGTTATCAACTCAGGGCTTCAAAGGGAGGTTTAGTTTCATTGACATTGGTGCCAGACTCTGGCAGTCAGAATGAGAAACACAAGTCCAGCCCCTCGTGGCAGTCTTTGCGATTTGCGGTATTGCAGACGAGACAACAGTGAATAACAATGAATTCTCCGTTGAAAGTGTTTGTTGGCATTGTTGTTGGTATGTGTGTGTGCCTGTGTGCGTGCATGCATGCGTGCTGTGGAGTGAGAGGAAGACTTTCTGGAGTGGGTTCTCCTTTACTGTGGGTTTGGGGTATGGAACTCAAGTTGTCAGGCTTGTGTGGCAAGCGCTTTAGCCTGCTAAGCCATCTTTCCAGCCACGAGGAAGATTGTGGAGGGCGGTTATGTCTGCTGTGATTGGATCATATAACACTTGCCTTTCTTTCCTATGAAGCTCAGCCTCCAGGACCTTGTTGGTTTTGCCTCGCCAGCCCTGAAGTGGAGAAGCATCTGGTTGTCAACATTGGCACACATGTGAGTTACTCCCATAGGTGGACAGCAGAGAAGGAAACGCCCGTTAGTTGGTTTTTACTAACTTTCCATGATATATGATCTGTGTATCAAATTTACCCTGCCCCCTCCTTTCCTTTCTTTGTAAGTCAGGGCCTTTCTACATAGCCCTGGCTGTCCTGGACCTCACTAGACTAAGCTGCCCTCCAACTCACAGAGATCCTCCTGTCTCTGTCTTTGCCAAGTGCTGGGATTAAAGGTGTGAACCAACACTCCCATTTTAAGTGTACAGTTCATTGATACTTAGTAAGCTTATAGAATTATGCAACCATCACATAATAGTGGTTTAGATGCCCGATGTGATGATGCATGCTTTCAGTCTCAGTCCTTAGGAGGCAGAGGTTGGTGATCTCTTGAGTTCAAGGCAAGTCTGTCTACAAAGCAACTTCAGGACAACCAGCACCACACAGAGAAAAAAAAAGAAAATATGGAATAGAGGTTTAGAGAATTTCCATCAGTCCAGTAAAATTTCTTAAACACATTTATATTAATTTCAGTATCCATTCTCAGCCTTGGCCACTACTTGCATACTTTGTATCTTTTTAGGTTTGTGGGGTTTTAGACATTTAACTGAAATCATATAATGCAGTGTGTGTGTGTGTATTATTGTATGTATGTGCATGAGGATTGTATTTGGATTGTATGTGTATTGTGTTGTGTTGTGTTGTGTTGTGTTGTGTTGTGTTGTATTGTATTGTATTGTATTGTATGTATGTATGAATGCTGGAGCCTGAGGATTCAGGCCTTGGATCCCTGGGGCTGGAGCTATAGGAAGTTGTGAGCCTCCTGACCTGAGTGCTGGAACTGACTCAGGTCCTCTGCAACAGTAGTGTATGCTTCTGACTGTTCCGCTCTCCCTCCAGCTCTGTTTTAACTTTCTAAGAAATTGTCAAACTGATTTCCAAAATTACTACATTATTTTATGCTCCTGCCAGCAACATGATGAGAGTTTTGCCTTTCCATATTCACGTCCATCTTGCTTAAAGTCTTTTCCTCCCTTCTTGATAGTGCTGGAGCCTGGAGCCAGGGTCTTGTACGTGATGGGCAAGAGCTCTGCCATTGAGTCACACCCACAGCCATTGCCTGCCTCTCTGATGATAGGCGATAGTCTTATGGAGTCAGTTTCATAAGCACTCCTTCTCTGTCTCCCTCCATAGGATAAATCTTCGGTATATGTCTTAGATTCATTATGTTTCATGAAATATTGAGTTGGTTCTTTTAATTTCTCAGTGTTTTAAATATTCCTCAGTTTTCCCTGTTTTAAATAGTAAAAAGAAATGGGAGTCATGCATAGTATATGTATACTAGATTTAAAATGTTGATATTGTTAGTGCAGTCTTGTGACTTATGCCTGTAGTCTCAGCACTCAGGAAGCGGAGGCAGGAGGATTGTCACAAATTTAAGGTCAGCTTGGATTACCTAAAGAATTCTAGGCTAGGCTTGGGTTCAGAATGAGGCTTTTTCTTTAAAAACAAACAAAAAAGCAAACAAACACAAACTAAAAGTACCCCTAGGAACTGAAATTCATTAAGCATAAGAAAAATTAAAGTGATAAAATTCAGTTTGCCAGTCAAGGATTGTACTCATGAGGGTTCTCTGGAGTGACATTATAGAGTAAGTCTCTCTATATGTAGACTGGGGATTGATTACAATTACTTACAGGCTGCTGTCCATCTAGTTCAACAGTAATTGTCCTCCTATGGCAGATCAAAGTAGCTAGTCATTGTTTAGTCCATGAGGCTGGACATCTTAGCTGGCCTTCCGTATAACTTTGGAATCCCAAAGAAGTAGACTTTAATGCTAGTAAAGGAATAGACTTGTTATCAATGTGGAAGCAAACAAAGAGCCAAAGCTTCTTTCTTCCATGTTCTTATACAGGCTTTTAACAGAAGGAAGGTATGGCACAGGTGGGGTTTCCCAATTCAAAGAGTAGAAGTAGATCATTCTACTTCAGGTTAATCTGAAATCCTTTCAGATGGCAAACACCGTGTGTCTCAGGAAGTCATTCAGCTTTATACTTTTTCTAAGAGGGCTCTATAAAGTTAAGTCTTTTTCTTTTACTTGTGGTGAAGCTGCTGATCACCAGAGTTGCAGTTACACTCTACCCCGCCATGACTAAACTGGATGTTCTCGAAGGCCAGCTTACTGTGTAACACTTCTGCACACTGGTAGTGTTCATCTGGTTTTCATTGATTTCTTCTAATTTTGGTTTCTAAAGGTGACTTTCCTCTTGATCCTAACAATCTGAGAGTTCCTTTTTTGTGGCCTCCTGTAGACCAACTAGAGTCTCACTTGATTTTCACTTCCTTTCAAATTGAAGAGGCCTACACGTACCTATTTATGTTTTGCATCTTAATTATAGGCACCTGTCCAGGAGGTGGTGTTCTGGAGTCAAGGCCTGCGACACACACAGTTGCCTTGTAAGGCCGTGGATGAACTCTGAGAGCAAGCTTGACAGGCTTTTACTTTTGTGGTGTGTTCTTTTTAGATCAGCTTTGGCTCCCCTGACTGGATTACCTTTTCCAGTCTTCTCTCAGACACGGCCTGTAGTGAGTAAGGCTGTGAGCTGCCTTTTTTTTGGGACAAATAAGAGTTTCAAGAGCCCATGGGAGAGGAGGAGGGGTTGGAGCAGATGGCTTGGCCTCATGCTCCTCTAGGCTTTGGGGAGAAAAGTTCTTCCTTTGCTTCCCACAGTTTATTCTCCAGGAGATGGGCCTGGGAATGATGAAGGAAACTGTTCCTCTGTCTGAGACCAGTAAAAGGTGTCTTGAGGCATGCTTTTGACTGAGCTCCCAAGTGAAAAGTAGAAGGCCTTGAGCATTTTCTCCTAGGCTAGTGCCTGCCTAGTAGTCAAATCTATGTTGCCCTGCACTGTAGTTTTTCTGGGCTTCTGAGTCTCTAGCAAAGGGCTTCCAGTCTCTTCTTGTGGCCATTCCTCTTGCTTTTCCTTTATCACATTTTCCTTGGGGCTTTCTAGGTTTCCAGAGTATCATTTTAAAACAAATGCAATAAAAATGGATATTAATAAAAACTTTTAATGCCTCTTAGGATTTGGGGAGGATGTTGTTTGGTTATTGGTGATGAGGCTCTTCTTCTGTTTCCTAGGCTAGCCTTAAATTTGAGATCCCTCTGTTTTAGTTTCCAGAGTAGGTAGAACTGCAAGTGTTTGTCACCGTGTCCTGGTCCTCCAGGTTGTGGTGAACTTAAATCCTGCGGGAAATGAGCTGTGGATATGTTTAGTTCTCTGTCAGTAGATCAAGGAGGAGCATGCTTTGGTTTATAGCAAGTGTATATGTTACGACTGAACTTTCTCATTCAGTCTTAGCTGTGGGACCACCACACTGAAAGTGTAGTTTTGTATATGTCCCTGTGTATTTGCCTGTGTTGATATTCCTTGGCCCTTTGCCTGCTCAGTCAGAGCATCTTCCTGTCACACAATGACTGTTAGAGCAGCACCTTGTGTCTGGATGGCTTTGTTTCTGTTTTACTGTTACTGGTTTAGCCAGGGCTGAGGCTGGACTGTCATCCTCTACCTGCTGAGTGCTGGGGTGAGGGTGTGAACCTCCTCACTGCTGAGTGCTGGGGTGAGAGTGTGAACACCTCACTGCTGAGTGCTGGGATGAGAATGTGAACCTCCTCACTGCTGAGTGCTGGGATGAGAGTGTGAACACCTCACTGCTGAGTGCTGAGGTGAGGTGAAGTGAGAGTGTGAGCCTCCTCACCTGATATACAGGGTTTTTTTTTTTTAATTTTGTGTGCATGCTTATATGTGTGTTGCTATTAAAAACTGATATCATTGTTGGAAAACAGAGTTCTCTGCCTCTTTGTATGTCTGAGTTTGAGGCTTTTCTTTCCATTTTATTGGATTGTGTTCCTCCTTCCTTTTCCTTTGTGGAATTTAGTTAGCACCTCATAACTGTAGGAAGACTCTTGCTGAACATGTTACCATAGCCTTTTTTGTGAGCCCAAAGAGTATATTGGGAATAGAGATGTGGGGTTGGATAGCCTGGAAGAGGAAGGAAGAACTCATTTTGAAATAAGAACTATTATCTTTTTGTGGTTGAAGGGAAAGTGATAGTAGCTGAAAATTGCTTTAAAGTTTAGATCGTAGGAGCGATACTTTAAATAGTGTTTTTGAACTCTCGCATTTAAAACCAGACCCTTCTTGTATGCCTTCAGTTCATTTGCTATTTTCATGGAAGTTTGTTAAAACTGATCCTGTTCCTTAGAAGACACTTAAAAATGCTGTTCTAGCCCTTAAAATCAAATCATGTATGTATGTATGTATGTATGTATGTATGTATGTATGTATTAGTTAAGTATTTGGGTTTGTCAGTGCACCATGTGTATGTCTTTTGCCTGCAGAGATCAGATAGGGCACTGGATTCCCTTAAACAGGCATTACAGATGGTTCCGAGCCACCATGGGGATGGTAGGAGTTGCATCTGGGTCCTTTGGAAGAATAGCCAGTGCTTTTAGCCACTGAGCCATCATCTTCCCAGCTCTTGTTCTAACGTTTAAAATCCAATCTTTTAAAACTTAGTTTCTATTAAGAATATCTTAGGTCATGCATGGTGGGTCATGTCTTTAATCCCAACACTCAGGAGGCAGAGACATGCAGTTAGATCTCTTTGAGTTTGAGGCCAGCTTCGTCTATAACACAAGTTTTAGGACAGCCAGGGTTGTTATGTTACATGGAGAAACCCCATCTCCAAGAAAAAAAAAAAAAAGGAAAAAAAAAGCAAGCAAGCCATCAAACAAACTAAAACAACAACAAAACAAACAAGAATATCTTGGATTGGGTGTATTGGTTCAGGGCTGTAGTCTCAGAGCTTGGATGCTGAGCCGAGAGCATTGAATTTGAGACTGCCCTGTACAAAATAGCAAGATCCTGTCCTGCTGTCCTGGGTGGAAGGGGGCAACATCATGAGCATTTTCTATTGTACTCAGGCTCACTGTGTGTCCAGAGTTTTCTCTCCGGATGATCATACACACAGGCTTGCTATCTTGCTTCTGTGATTCTTCTACAGTGCTACCTTGCCCTGGCCAAAGGAGGCTTATCTGATGACCATGTCCTCATTCTGCCTATTGGACACTACCAGTCAGTTGTGGAGCTTTCAGCAGAGGTGGTGGAAGAAGTGGAGAAGTATAAGGCTACTCTGAAACGCTTCTTTAAGAGTCGAGGGAAGCGTTGTGTTCTATTTGAAAGAAATTATAGGAGCCATCACCTCCAGCTTCAGGTACGTGTTCTCTGCCTGGGAACTTGGAAATCACCTTGGGGGATCTTGAGATTGATAAATGTAAGTAATGATGACTTTTTAGTTTTTAATTTTAATTTAACACTTAGAGCATTTAATATTATTTTCATGATAATATTTGAATAGTCGTCATTTAGAGGGCTGGGAATATCTGCTGATAATCCCAGAGAAGTTTATGCTGGAGGTAACTGAACAGCAGGATGGTGTGTGCCCTGTACAGAAAGAGTGAGTAGTTAAGAAAGTTCCACGGAACATGAATACATGGACTTGCTGGTAAGAGGTGGCTGGTTCATGTGGAAGCCCAGCATGAATAAAGGCTTAAAGGTAGGAAATGTGTGTTTCTAGCATAGGGCTAGCACTTTGGAAGTGGAGTGATTTGTGTCTTGGGTGGTAGTGTCTTCCTAGCGCATTTGTTAAGTGTTCAAATGGGCCTGACTCTACCACATACATTATGGAGGAGCTGGCAAAGGCTTAGAGACAAAGAGGTCTCTTTGAGCGTTTCCTAATATCAGATGGGCTCCCATATGTGCCAGCTCTCGTAAGTTTAAGTCCTACAGCCAATCCAGTGGAGACTGTTTGGCCTGAGGAGAAGCTATGCTGAGGGGTGTTGCTCCACCCCAGTGATGGCTTTGCTACTTCCTCAAGACTTTAAAGACTCAACTTCTTTGGAACCAATACAAAGAATTTCTTCTATTCCTCCCACACCAACCCAGGTCATTCCTGTGCCCCTCAGCTGCTGTGTTACAGATGACATTAAAGACGCCTTCATTACCCAGGCACAGGAGCAGCAGATAGAGCTGTTGGAAATTCCAGAACACTCAGACATCAAACAGGTGAATCAGGAAGGGGTGGTAATATTTTGGGAGGAATTAAGATCTGGTTCTTGACGTGTTGAGCCAGAGGAACTAAACAGTGGGCTGTTTGGTACTAGAACACAGGATATTGGTAAGACTAGAGGGGAAGCTGTCATCATAGCAATGTCTTGATGCTTTCCTAGAAAGTAAAGAATTAGACTTTTCCTGGAGCTGGGAAGATGGCTCTGAGGACTTGAGTGTGATCCCAGCAGCCATGTAAAGGTCACTTGCTGGGGCATGTGCCTGTGAGCCACGTGCTGAGGAGGTAGAGACAAAAGCATCTCTGCCTAATTGAAAAGCTGCAGGCTCAGTGAGAGAGACCCTGCCTCAAAACATGAGGTGGCAAGAACTGAAAAAGTCACCCAGAGTCATCCTGTGCCTTCCACAGGCACATGAACACACCTGTACATGTAATCCCACACATGGGAATAGGTACACATATGTAAACACATACAGATTAAACAAACAAAGTAGATACTTCCTAAGATGGGATCTTAGAAGGATGGGTACCACTGGGAGTATATTGGTATTTTAAACCAGTTCCTGTGGTGTGTTGCATTTTTAAAAACTTTCTTATTTGTCCTTATACATTTCTGTTTACTTCAGATTGCACAGCCGGGAGCAGCATATTTTTATGTTGAGCTCGACACTGGAGAAAAGCTTTTTCACAGAATTAAAAAGAATTTTCCTTTGCAATTTGGAAGGTTTGTATGCTTTCGCTATATTTAGTGTGTTTCATTTAACCTGTTATAAACGTGGTGACAGGCTGCATGGACAGTCAGTGAAAACCAAGTAGGGAAGCTTAGAATCTTAGTGCAGATCACTGCTACAGCGTTGGGCTGGAGAATTGGAAGTACCATGAACATATCTTGAGGAACATTAGTCTTTAGAAACTTAGAGCAGGAAGGAAGGACTCATTTCTACCAAATGCAAGTCTCTGTGAAAGGCTGAGAGTGAACATAAGGGAGACTGAGTGGGAAAAGCACCGTGAGAGTGCTCATGGTGGAATACAGTGTGGCCACTGAGCATGTGCTGGGTCAGACACTGGCAAGAGCTTCCCAGGCATTGCTCCATTCAACCTTCCAGTTGTATGGTTTATATCCTGTCACCCCAGTAGAACTTCATCCAGACATGAAAACACACTGTAAAGCTGCACTAATCCAATAACCCCAAGCTACACGTGCTGTTAGATACTTGAAAATGAGACTGAGGGGCAGTGAAGTGAGGTGGCTTGCTGCCACACCTGGTGACAGACTTTGATTCTTGGGACCTACATGGTAGGGGATAACTGATGCCTAACCATGCGTTCTCTAGCCACAGGTGTATGGCATGTATGAACCCACATATAAATAAATAGATACAGTAAAAAAAAAAAATTAAAGAAAAAAATGAAAGTGAGCTTAAATTTAAATAGCCACACTTGGCTAGTGGCTATTCTACTAGATATTGTACCTTAAGGTAAGTTAAGGAGCATGCCCATGGTCACAGAGTTGAAGGTTCAAACTTTAGTGTGGTGAGTACCAAGATGGAGGTCTTCAACCTTGTTATTCTGTATCATTCTGAAAGCCCGAGTGGAGGGAAGCAGAAAATGCACACAGTGTGTTGTCTGATGCTGATCTCTGATTCGCAGCTGTTTTCTGACAACTCCCAATGGTTTACACTGGGCTTTGAATGAGCCTTCAGCCAATCCTAGACTAATTTGGAAAGCCTTCAAGAGATTGCCCCATTGGATAAGTCCAACAAATACAGTTTTTAAAAAATAAATAATTGATAAATGAGAATAAATATCTGTTCTTGTTATTATCTTTTCTTAATCTTATTGCCTTAGCAACAGATGTAAATCTGCACAGTGAGGACATAGGCAGGCAATGCCAATGTACACAGCCATGTACGGTTCACATCTTTTTGTGATTATGGTAGTGGTTTACACTTCAGCACTGAAAAATTTCAGAATATTAATGTACAATTGATACGTTTTATACTTAATAGAGAAAATGGTTGTGTCTTCATTTTATATATGAAGAAACAAGGCTCACGGTTTGCTAGGCAAACCCAAGTTTGAGCTTAGGTCCTTTAACTCCTAGAGGACTACTGTGATTCATTTCTTCCTTTTCTATTTATTATACCTTCAAAGTTGAAGTGAACAAAATAGAATTGTTTCTAATATATTAAAGTAAAAATATAGAACTTAGAGCTGCTTGTATATGTATCTATATAAGTTGTTTTCTTCACATTGAACTTCTCTCGTAAAGAGAGAATACATAAAAATGAGGGGACTAGGAGGACAGGTAGAAGAACTTTAAGTCAGAATGGTATAACATACGACTCCGGACCATGCCCTCAGCAAACTCAGTCTACTCGGTATATGAAAATGATAGTTTCAGGCAAGATAGACTCGCAGCTGGGCATGTGCTTTGATTATATAGTTTCTGTGCAAAATCCTCTAAGGAAGGTGATCTTGTAAGTGAGGAAATCAAGGCTAAGAGATAAAGTAATATTCAAGTCATAGACATGAAGTACCAGAGCATGGACTGAACTCTGTTTCTGACTTTTCTGACACCAGGGGCTGTCCTCTAGTCTGTATGTGGTGTTTCTTCCCTAAGCATTAATATTGTGGTTCCAAGTTGTTCTAGGAAAGGAGAAACAGATGGGGCGCGAGAGTACACGTCCTATGGCAATGATTTCAATAGACAGGATGGCAGAGGTGTAGTCAGGGTACGATAGGAGACCAGTGTGAGCTGTAAGCAATCTGCATACTCTCTAGTGACACTGAGGAGAGCTGGTGGCTGGAGAGGAACACAGGAAGGGTGGTTTTCAGTTACTACTCCCATTTTCTCTTCTTTGTACTCTTCTGCAGGGAGGTCCTGGCCAGTGAAGCTATTCTCAACATTCCTGAGAAGGCTGACTGGAGGCAGTGTCAAACCAGTAAGGAGGAGGAGGAGGCCCTGGCCCGCCGCTTTCGGAAAGACTTTGAACCCTTTGATTTCACTTTGGATGACTAGCCAGAGGGAAGGGCACACTACAGTTCACATTGATGGCACAGGAGATTGTTCCAGCCTGTTCTTAAAGTGAAACTACGGTCTCCCATGGGTGCTGCCTCCCTGCCTCTTTTCAGTATATTCCCGTGGACCTGCCTGCACAGGAGGCCTCTGATTGACCCTTTTTAAGGAAGTCATTCTGAGATGCAATGATATGTTAAAAGAACATCTGCTGGGTGTTTCTTAGAACAGCTCTGTTTCTCCACATCCTCACAGACTTTTAAACCTTTCAGATTGGGGATGGTAGCTCATGCCTCTAATCTCAGAAACTGAGGAGTTATGGCAGGAGGATTGCTATGAATTCAAGACTAGTCTGGACCACACAGTGAGTTTCAGGGCAGTCTGGGCTATGGCATGAGACCCATCTCAACTCCCCATCCTTGCCCTTACCCTCCAAAAATGTAAAAAATAATATCCCCCAAATCTTGTAAATAATAAAAAGGGAATGCTTTTCTAAGGTTGACAAATGTCTTCTGTTGCTTATGGACACTGAAATGATATTATGTGCGTGTGATAGAGACCAGAGTTTTATCCCCAGCACTTATCCCAGAGTAAGGCAGCCTGGCCTTTGCTATTGCTTTTTTTTTTTTTTTAAAACTTTATTTATTTATTATAAGTACACTGTAGCTATCTTCAGACACCCCACAAGAGGGCATCAGATCTCATTGCAGATGGTTGTGAGCCACCATGTGGTTGCTGGGATTTGAACTCATGACCTCTGGAAGAGTAGTCAGTGCTCTTAACCACTGAGCCATCTCACCAGCCCTTGCTATTGCTTTCTTACAGCATCTTCTTCACATCAAAGAGTCCATCTGTCGTTCAGATATTTAACTCTGGTATGCGAGGACATGTTCTAAGTTCCAGGAGTATAGCTAGTGAGTCCCCCAGTGTGCTGCCCATTCTTACAGAGTCTAGAGTCTAATTTTCAAAGGAAATGGCAGATTGAGGACATAAGATGATTTTACTTTGAATGTGTTGTTTTAGATGTTTAAAATAGATGTGTCCAGATCGCCATCAGATGCTTCTCAGACTCATGCAGACCAGGATTGGTGACAGGGCTTTGAATGCATTTCCCATGTTCCATGAGTGTAAGATTCCTGCGTTATCTTACAGATGTATCCAGAGTGCAGGTAGATAATTCTCAAACTCATGCAGATCTAGGTTGGTGACTAGGCTTTAGGAATTACCAGGGTGTAGACCAGAGTGAACTTACAAAATAAGAAGAGCAAACACTGTAACCAAGAACTTTTCCTCCTGGCTTCTTTGCTTCCCAAAGTAAGGACTCTGAGATTTAATATTTCATTAATAAATTCCTAGGCCAAAAGCTTTGGCTTGTTCTCTAGCTAGCTCATAACTTAAGCCCCCGCTTATCCTATGTCCTGCCAAGTAGTTGCTCCCCTCTGCTTCAGCTCCAGGGCCAATCTTTCCCACCTGACTGTTTCCCAGAATTCTCTGATTCATTTGCACCTCCTCCTGGCTCCCCCAGCCCCCAGTGCCCTTTTCTCTCTCTGCTTGATGTCCTACCTTCTAGTCCTGCCTCAGCTCATTGGCCATAGGCTTTTTATTGACAGGTGATGTTGCCATACACTGCACAAAAGATTCTCTCTTTGCAAACACAGTCAGTCCCACCCTAAAGATGACTATGATTTAAGGAAACTGCTCCAGTGAGCAACACAGAGAAGCAGCAGTGTGGTCACAGGAAAATGCTCCTTACCGTAAGCCATAGAGAGGAATTGGTCCTTGTTGGGCGCTTCTGGCATAGACTTAGTTCACTTAGTTCTCATAAAAATCTCTTGACCTTCATTTTGTTTCTGAACAACAACAAAAAACTAAAACAGTCTTGGAAACCTGAAGATTGTGGAGCCTGACATAAACCACTTAATAATTAAAAAAAAAAAATTGGTTAACCCAGTCAACATTATCTTGGCTGGAGTTTTCAGCATCTCTCTTGGAAACTACATCCCACCTGTGGAAACGCGAACACCTCTCACTCCTAGCTCTTGTCATACACAGCAAATGAGGTTTCATACTGTTACATGGCAGTCTCTTCTGCTCGAGAGAGGTTCCCTCAGAGGCTGTTTCTACTAACTTCAAGTCCGATATTCCAATTCCATGGAAGATATGAAAATAATAGAAACCAGCTTATCGAATACCACTCACCGTTAGTGACCCACAACATCGAACTGCATGCTGACATTGAGGATTTGATTTTATGCTGAGTTTTACACGTTTAAGTTATTTACATCCCTAGCTTCAGCCTGGTGGGGCACTACAAGCCTGTAATCCCAGTCTTGGGAAAGATGGAGGAATAACAAGTTCTAGACCAGGCTGTACTGTATTGAGGTACAGTCTCAGAACAAGACACCTAGAGTCCATGAAGCGGATAACCCACTCAAATGGCTAGGCGGGGTGACTTTCCCTGTGCACCCCATCTCTCAGAACCACTGTGTTGGCAAGTCTGAAAGAGCAAGGTTGATAAACTATAAGGTCGGTAGGGAAACTCACAGTCTGGAAGAAGAGTTTTCCCTCTGGAATAACGTCACATCTTTAGGTGGTTTGGGATTATAGGAGACCTTCTGACTTAGAAGGCTAATGAATCAACGGGGCGGTTAGCGCAGTTTTCTTTCATACTTAGTGGTGGCCTTAACCAGTGCGACCGGCGAGTGTGGTAGGATTCCAGGGCCAGAGGGCAGGGCTCTCAAAAAGATGAAATGTGTGTACGAGGTAGGGACAATGCGAAGTTTAGGGTTTGGAGAGAGATCTATTTTTAAATAAAAACACGTCGTATGAAACCCTCAAAGAACTAATTAAAATATCTATATAAACAAAAACAAAATAAATAAGAACCACACGCACGACGATCCTCACAGACTGGAAGTTGCCCGGGGCTCTTAAAACATCACAGGGCAACCTGCTCGTGCCCAGCCTATTCGTCAGCACCAATCCCAGGGTGACTCGAGGAGCTTGGGGCGGGACTTTCCCTGGAAGAGAGCGGAAGTGACGCAGTCTCGCGAGAAGAAGGACTCCCAAGCCTCGGAGCCCGGAACCGGCCCTGGACCGGTGGCAGTGCCTGAGGCGGCTGGCGCTCCCGCTCCATGGAGCGGCCCCCGGGGCTGCGGCCAGGCGCGGGCGGCCCCTGGGAGATGCGGGAGCGGCTTGGCACCGGCGGCTTCGGGAACGTCAGTCTGTACCAGCACCGGGTGAGGCGGGGGGTCGGGAGCAGTGGCGCCGGGTCTGTTTGGGCGTCCCTGGAACACGGGCTGTCAGTCAAAGTGGGAGGGGTGGTCGTCGAGACCCTGAGCCGGGCTGGGGCTGGGTCGGTGAGCGAGTGCGGGTGAGCCTGTGCCGGTGAGCCTGGGTGGCCGTGTTCCAGGTGTGTCTGCCTTCCCTGGGCAGTGGGTGACAGGGAGCTGGTGCAGCCGTGTTTGATGATGATGAGCCTGTACGAAAGTGCGTCTGTGTTGTGTATGTGTGTTGTGTCTGTCTCCGTGTGCCTGCTCACACTCCCTCGGGAGCGGTGTGATCCACTGGAGACTGGAGTAGACGAGGAATCTTCCTGGTGTTGAGAATTGAATCTTTGGAAACATTGACAGACTTTGGAATTGGAGCGTTTCAGGTAAAGACCAGGGTAAGGTAAGTAAGATGACGAAGATCCTCCGTGCTTCAGAGGAAAGGAACTAGACGGAAGGATGAGGGGTTTGTTCTGCAGAAGACAACTAACGTCAGGCTCAGGAAGTTTGTTTTGATTTATTATCGAAAAACATGTAACCGCTGCAAAAGCAGTTAGTTGTACCTTTAAAAGATTTTCAAGCTTTACTTACTTTAATGTGTTGTTGTTGTTATAAATGGAACACCACAGGACCCTGCACATGCTAGGCAAATGGTCTACTATTGGGTTACATCCTCAGCCCTAGTTATTCATGTTCGAGTCATGGGTCTTTTGATTAGTCAGTAAAAAATTATGCATCTTTTCTCCAGAAAAATAATATCAATACAAACCAGTGCATTATTATTGAGGGCTTTGCTTTCCTGAAGGATGTAAGGACTAGATCTTGAACACTATTCATTGCAGTATAGGATTTGTTGATTGTAAAGTATTTAGAAGACTATACATACGTCCTGGGTCTGTTTGAGAGTTAAGTCAGGTGGTACTAGAGATTTTAGTAAGTACCAGGTAGGTACTGTAACTGCCCACTGATAGCTCTCCACTGTCATGTTATCGTAATCCTCATTAATTGGACTTTTACGAAAGGAGCAGTAAGATAAAAATGGTGTTCTGGAACATTGTATATGAGGAATATGTTTAGAAAAAACAACAAGCCAAGTACAGACATTTTAGTAATATTTTCAGTAGACTCACTGGAAGAATTAGTTTCAGTATTTCATATATACCTTTGAGGACAGGAGAAAGAACAGGAAATGGTTTAGTTGATTGGTGTATTGGGTGCTGATGGTGCCCAAATCAACAAGAATAATATTTTCTACTCTGCAGGAGCTTTCCATTTCAGAGAGAGATGGACATAGGAACAAAGTACAGCTGCGCATGGAGGCATCGCTTGTAATCCCAGAACCACGGGTTCTGAGGCAAGAGGATTTTGAGTTTGAGGCCTGCCTTGGTGGCCTTCATATGGTGCTCAAGACCAGTGTCAGTTACATAAGAAGACCCTGTCTCAGAAATAAACATAAGTACAGTTTGATACCCTAGACACTGAAAGATGTCTTAGGGTTTTATTGCTGTACAGAGACACCATGACTCTTATAGAAAGAAAACGTCTTTTATAGGAAGCTTTTATAGAGCAGAACATTTAGCTGGGGCTGGTTTCAGAGTTTTAGTCCATTATCATCATGGAGGGAGGCGTAGTGTCGTTCAGGCAGGCACGGAGCCAAGAGTTCGACATTTTGACCCACAGGCAGCAGAAGGGGACTCTGTCCCATATTGGATGCAGCTTGAGATAGGAGACATCAAAGCCCACTCCCACAGTGACACACTTCCTCCAACAAGGCCACAGGCACTCCTACAAGGCCACACCTCCTAATCGTGCCACTTTCTGTGTGTCAAACATTCAAGCCCATCAGTCTATAGGGGCCAAACCCATTCAAACCGCCATATCAGAGAACTTTGCATAGGGGTGTTTGAAAACCTAGTTCCATGGAATCCATTAAAGAAAGAATATAGAAGCCAGGCCTGGTGGGAACACTTGGGAGAGTGAGATAGGAGGATTGCCTTCAGTTCAAAGCCACTATGGGCCATAGAGTGAGAGCCTTTTTTAAACAAAAGTATATGGACTAGAGATACAACTTAGTAACATCCGTGCCCAAGGTCCTGGGTTCTATCCTCAGTACTACAGATTCTTTGATGTAATGGACTTGAACTTGTACAGTTCGCAGCATTCTCCAGAGGTCCTAGAAGCTGCGACCTGCGTGTTGAGGAGCGGCTTCACTTTGTTCACGTACATCGATAGTGCTGTATATGTTAGTCCTTCTGCTTGGAGAATCATGATTCACATTAGGAATCCAATTTATAAGCTCCAAAAAGTAAAGAAATTAGTGTTTTCAAACTTTATTCCTGCCTCATTTTTCCAAATACCAGGGACAGTAGACTCATATTACCTAATATGTTAGTTCGGGTTTTATTGCTGTGAAGAGACAGTGTGACCAAGGCAGCTCTTACACAGGAAAACAGTTAATTGGGACTGGCTTTCAGTTTCAGAGGTTCAGTCAATTATCACATGGTGGGACATGGTGGCGTGCCGGCAGACAAGGTGCCAGAGAAGGAGCTGTGAATTCTATATTTTGACCCAAAGGCAGGAAGGAGAAACTGTGTCCCATAGTGGGTGTAGCTTGAGCTTAGGAGACCTTAAAGCTTACCCCTAGAGTGATGCACTTCCTCCAGCAAGGCTACACCTAATAGTGCCATTCTCTGTGGCCTAGCATTGAAACACGTGAGTCTATGGGGGGTCATCATACCCAACTTGGTCTCATTTAAAAACAAAAAACATCTTTTTATTGTTGTTTGGCAACTATAAATTTCCCAAGAGAATATTCTCTGTGAAAAGATTGAATTTCTTGGAGTAGGTGAAATATAAACTAAGGAGTTGAAGGATCTCTTGTGGTTGGTTGGGACCTCTATCAAATAGATAATTTTCTCCCTCATTCATACCAGAATTTAGGGCTCATTGTCTTTGTTGTGATAACACTATATAGGATGTAACTGTCAGATACCTGTCTGGTCTGCTTATAACAAAACTGAAAGGAGTGAGCCTGGTGGGAAAGCTAGCTTGTAGTCTCTCTTAGCCCCAGCTCTTCACTAGAAACAGTTTTACCTTTTGGCTTTCTTCCTCCTCCTGGTTCCTAGTTGAGACAATTTCACCTAAGCTAAGCCTTGCTCCCGGCTTCCCCTTTCCTCAGTCCTTGGTCCTTTCTCACTAGTCACACAGCTTTTACCACACCTTTGGCTGTGTCAGTGATGTCACATCCGTGACGCTCTTTGGAATTTTTAACATAGTATAGCCTTTTTTCTTCTGACTGCATTGTTGATGTTGCCCGGATATGATGTCTGGCTGTTTCTTGTGATGTGCATAGGATAGTTTAATTTTCAGTTAGAATCAGTGACATTACTAGTCTCAGATAAGAGGTCTTTAGTTTGTATTATAGATGTGTGAACTGATGTACTGTTCTTTGGATGATTTTCATGTCATTTGAAATGTAAAGATTGGGATCTAGTTTTAGAGGGATTTGTTTGGTTTTGTTATACAGTAGATCTGGTCATATAAAAAGTATTTCTTTTGTTTTGAGGCTAGGGAGCCCTGAATTATCTTCTTCATATTGTTTATCTGGAATTTAGGTCCCTTGTTTGTTGTTTTGACTAAGTTTGAAAAAGGACTTGTTGGAGATCTTGATATATTTCTAGTATTATGTTGGATACAGTAGTATGTTGGATACAGTATTCTAAAGTATTAAGTAGTATATCTAATCCTCTGAAGAGACTTGTTGTAGGATCTGCCTCAGTCAGTTTTTGCTTATATATTATGGTGTATTTGACAGTCAGTTTCAAATCATTGGTATAATAGTATTATGGTTCATGTAACTAACATTGGCTAAAGAGCTATGAATAGTATGTTTAATAAGTTAAGCTAAAAAGAGTGTTATTTCCCTGGGTTGACATTTTTTTGATTGTAAGTAAACCTGTAGAAGAACCTAATTTGTCTATATTTTCTACTTTGACAGGAACTTGATCTCAAAATAGCAATTAAGTCTTGTCGATTAGAGCTAAGTACTAAAAACAGAGAGCGATGGTGCCATGAAATCCAGATCATGAAAAAGTAAGTGTATGCTATGACTTAGGCTCTTCAGCTCTGCAGCCCAGACAATTTTCAGTAGCCAGGGAAAGAGGTCAGGGGTCCACTTTTCTCAATACCTTTTTGGGAATGTGATTTTTGTCATTAAATATGTGTGTTCTATTTTAGACCGTCTGTCACACTACAGCTAAGGAAGTTATAGTTTACATTAGCTAGATAACACTCTCAACCTGGCTCTTTAAATGTTGCTTTTGAATATTGGGCAACTTTGTGACTAGTATATAAAAATTTCTTTTTGTATTTAACTTTTGTTAAATAATACATTCATAGTTTTGTAGATAGTTATCCCAAAATTTTATAGCTCAAAACTCTGAATATTTAGTATCTGTAGTTTATGACTGAGTTAACTGTGGTTCTAGCTTAGGGCTTCTCCTGAGACATCACCTTGGCTTGACCAAGGCTAGAGTTTTAACTTCCAGGCTCACTTATGTGGCTGCTGGCCAGAGGCAACAGTTCTTCAGTAAGGGCGCCTCTCTGTAGGAAATGCACACGGTTTAACAGCATGACGACAGGCTTCCCCAGAACAATGCTCTGAATGAGGAGGGTAAGGAAAAAGCTGACATCTCTTCAGAAGTTGCCTTTGAAGTCGGATTTCATTTCCTACTGCATTCTGTTAGAAATGAGTCACTAAGAAGATTATATGTGCTTAAGGAGAAGAGAATTGAGCTTTTGAAGGGACAGTGGATATATTTTAGCTTTAATAGTATGCCCCCACAAGTAATATGCTTTACAGATGGATCATTCTTGTAGTTGTCGGCACACCTCTGTTTTGTGTATTGCCCTATTCTGTAGATAAGAAGGAAGAAACAGTCACACGGCTGGTAGGCTGGTACTGGAGTTGAAGTGAGCATTTTCTGACTGAGTTTTGTGTCCAGCTCACTTTATTTTGACTTTCAAGCTTGGCAAGGTGGCAGAGCCACCAGGAAAACCTAATAATGTAAATTCTCAGATCCTGTAATCAGCACTAGTTTCTTTAGTTCCTGAGACAGGAGATTCTGTACTGTTTTAGGGTCTGTTACATTGTGATGATGACCACAGAGATTAAGATTGTTATGCTAAAAACCAACCAACCAACAAACAAACAAACAAAGAAGAAATGAGGCTGAAGAAGGAGATAAACAGTTAAGAGCACTTATTCCTCTTGTAGAGGGCCCAGGTTCATTTTCAGTTTCTAGTCCCCACACAGTAGCTATCTCTAACTCGATTTCCAGGGGATCCAATGCCTTTTTCTAGCATTAAAAAAATTTAAGAACTACTGAAGTCAGTAAATAATGTGATTCATAATTATTGAAGCAAACATATTTGTATTTAAATTTAAAACTGGAAGGAAATCTGTTTATTAGATTTTTAGTATTTCTCAGGGTCAGATTTAAGTCTTCATTGACAACCTACTTGTTACTTAACCAGTTTGTGTTTCAGTTTTCTCATGAATGATCCTGTTTTGTTTTTTTGGTTTGGTTTGGTTTGGTTCAGTTTGGTTTTTGTTTTTTTGAGACAGGGTTTCTCTGTGTAGCCCTGGCCGTCCTGGAACTCACTCTGTAGACCAGGCTGGCCTCGAACTCAGAAATCCACCTGCCTCTGCCTCCCAAGTGCTGGGATTAAAGGCATATGCTATCACTGCCCGGCTATGAATGATACTGTTAGCAACTATACTTGTATTAAGATTATTGTGACAGATAAATGAGTTGATATATTGTAAAGAACATACTGTTTGGCACACAGAAATTTAATAGTAATAATAATGGTATTTTCCTTATAAATTTGTTTGTTTTAATCAGGCAATTCAGAAATTAATAGCCTTTTAACTAAGATTAACTGCAGTACAATCAGAATTTAGAATTTTATAAATAAAACCAATCTTATCTCAATAGTTTCAAATTCAGTCCTTCTTCATTGGAAAACATTTTTTTATTGTAACGTTTTTTTCCTTGTTAGGTTGAACCATGCAAATGTTGTAAAGGCCTGTGATGTTCCTGAGGAGTTGAATTTTTTAATTAATGATGTGCCTCTTCTAGCAATGGAGTACTGTTCTGGTGGGGACCTCCGGAAGGTAGTGTGGATGTTTTGAAATACTGAGATAGTAAATCACAAACATTAGCAGTTTCTGAGCATCTGTGATATGGTCATCGAGAGTAAGAATAGACTAGACAACTGTAACCCTGCCACCCGTTCTGTAAATACACTTTCATTGAAACACAACACTGCGCATGTTTATGGCTGCTTATGAACAGCTCTAGGTTTGAGTAGTGGAACAGAGATTATATATGACTTTCATAGCTTGAAGTACTTAATATTTGACTCTTTACAGAAAAATATTTGTTAACCTTTGTCTTAATGCTTTCTATTGCTGTGATAAAGACCACAAACAAAAGCAACCTGGGAAAATAAAAGTTTATATGTGTACTGATCACAGTCGTTCATTGAGGAAAAGCAAGACAGGAACTAAAGTGGCAATCATGAAGGAACACTGCTTATTGGCTTGTTCTTTAGGCTTGTTCAGTCTGCCTGCTTATACAATCCAGGACTGCAGCCTGCCTAGGGGTGGCATTTTCCACAGTGGGCTGGGCCCTGCTGTGTCAACTGCTAATCATGAAATTATCCCACAGACTTGTCTACTGGCCAGGCTGATAGAGGCATTGCCTCAGATGAGATTTCCTCTACCTTGTGCCAAGTTGGCAAAAAAAAAATCCTAATCACTATATACATCCTAGGTTTGTTTATGGTTTTTTGTTTGTTTGTTTTATGTTTTTATTTGTTTGTTTTTGGCTTTTTTTGAGACAGGGTTTAACTATGGCCCCCCTGGTTGGCCTAAAACTCACTTTGTAGACCAGGCTGGCCTTGAGATCTGTCTACCTCTGCCTGAATGCTGAGATTAAAGACATGTGCCACCATGCTTAGCCTAGGAGGTGGTTGTTTGTTTGTTTTTTAACTGATATTTCCATGCTGGTCATTTTAAATAAAAGTATCAACATTTGTGGAACTTATTAAAAAGTTGTCTTTATTTATTCTGTCTATTTAAATAGAAAGAATATAACCATTCTTTCTATTTAGTTTTAAATGTATCTCTTCGTCAGTATTTTCAATTTAAGTGCTATTGCCCTTGTCTTTACTTCTTATGAGCCTTCTCATAAAGTTTATTCAGCCTCAGTATGGATTTCGGATTATTTTTTACCCTTATATCTCCCGTCATTGTTACAATTTTTGAAACAGACTTTCAGTGTAGCCCGTGCTAGCCTTGAACTCATGGTCCTGCCTCATCTTCCCGTGTGCTGGCCTTATAGACATGCACCAATATGCCCCAGTCCTTTTGATTTCTTTAGTGTGACTTTTTTCACTTGAATATTCTCTAGCAGTATAGTGACTGATGATTTTGCTGTTGCTACTCAGCAGTAGTAGACTTCTTTTTTCTTTTTTCTTTAGCTACTCAACAAACCAGAAAATTGTTGTGGACTTAAAGAAAGCCAGATACTTTCTTTACTGAGTGACATAGGTATGTAACTAATATTAAAATACCATTGTGATTTAATGCCCCTTTGATCCACAGAAACTTCTGTGTGCTGCTTAGAAGTGAAGGAGAACTGTTTTACACTTTACAAAGCACATGGATTTTTAACATCTCTAAAAAAAATGAGAAATATCCATTTCTTATGATGCTAATGAAAACTAGTTCATTTTGGCATTTGTTTCTATATGAAGGGGTTTTGTTTGTTGTTTGATTTTGGCTATGTATTGTTGTCTAATAGATGTTCCAATGATAACAAAAATGGTATGAATCAGCATCTATTTCATCCCTTTCACACCTTTCCCAATACTGATGTAGTAGTTTTGATTATAGAAGAATTGCATCTTTTTTTTTTTAAGATTTATTTATTTATTATATATGAATACACTGTAGCTGTCTTCAGACACGCCAGAAGAGGGCATCAGATCTCATTACAGATGGTTGTGAGCCACCATGTGGTTGCTGGGATTTGAACTCAGAACCTCTGGAAGTGCAATCAGTGCTCTTAACCACTGAGCCATCTCTCCAGCCCCAGAATTGCATCTTTTGGAGAAATAAGTCTTCAAGTTCTCTTGAGATGAAAGTACTACTGAAAAAAAATCCTAAAATAACTATCATTTAGACCTTTAGAGAAACCCCAAAAACCAAGAATTAATTTCCCTATGTGTTTTGGTGTTGCTTCTTTTCCTGGGTCATGGGTAATGAAGTCTAGTTTAAGAATGTGATTTAGGGATTACAGGTATTTTTTCAAAAATCAATCATTCCATTTGCTTTTAATATTGATTCCAATAAATTAAATATATAAATTAAATTATATATTATAATTTTTCAGTGTTTACTTGTTATTGAACTTCTGATGAAGAAAATCTGAATTATTCTAATGATGATGCAGCTGTGATAGATCTTATAAATGTGGGAGGGTGTGGGGGTATTATGGTATGTGTGGTACCTGGGGGGTATTGTGGTATGTGTGGTACCTGGGGTATTGTGGTATGTGTGGTACCTGGGGTATTGTGGTATGTGTGATACATGGGGTATTATGGTATGTGTGGTACCTGGGGTGTTGTGGTATGTGTGATACATGGAGTATTATGGTATGTGTAGTACCTGGGGTGTTGTGGTATGTGTGGTACATGAGGGTGTTATATGTGTGGTACATGGGAGTGATTATTGGTGCATACTCACAGGAGCATGCATCTGGAGGCAAGGGCAGGATGGCAAATGTTCTCATTTTTTTTAACTTGATTGTTTTGAGACAGGATCTCCTACTGAACTAGAAGCTCCATGTTCTGACTAAGCTGACTGACTGACCAGCCAGCTCCTGAGATTTGCCTCTCTCCACTTTTAACTCTGTTGGGGTTACTAGTTATACAAAGTCATCCTTGACTTTTTATGTGGTTGGCGGGGTTTTGAACTCAGGTCCTCAGGCTTTCACAGCACTCGCTTTTATCCACTGAACTATCTCCATAATAGCTCTGGACATAATTTTTGCATCAGTGTAGATCTACTACAAAATATGAGCTAAAAACTGACTGTAGCTAGACATGGTGGCACACACCTTTTATTCTAACACTGGGAGGCAGAGGAAGAAGGGTCTCTGTGAGATCAAGACCAGCAGGCCAGCCATGGCTATGCAGTGAGACCCTGTCTAAGAGAAAGCTGAGTGCATTGGAACATCCTGCAGGCCCAGCCCTTGGGAGGAAGAACAAGAGGATTAGGATCAGAAGCAATCCTCGGCTACATAGGGATTCCATGCCAGACAGAGCACATGAGATTCTGTCTCAAAACACTAGCAATAAAAACAAAATGTGATATGATTTTTTAAACAGTGTTTTCTGTTACTTCACAATACACTTGAAATTTTATTTAGGATCTGGAATTCGATATTTGCATGAAAACAAAATTATACATCGAGATCTAAAACCTGAAAATATAGTTCTTCAAGATGTTGGTGGGAAGGTAGGTGTAACCTAAAGAGCGTTCATGCTTATTGTTGTAGTCTCCCTGATACATTACGTCCTTAGAGACTTTAGTGCCCTTATTAATTATATACGCATAGTACTTTATAATTTTTCTATTGCAGTCTTCACTGAATTAAACTGTAGAGTTTTTTAATTCTAGATTTATTATTGCTGTTGTTCTAGATACATTATTGTTGTTCTTGTTATTATTATCTTATGTGTATGTGTACTACATATGGTGCTAGTGGAGGGCACATGCCCTCTTGGGCATGAGAGTCCATGGGCCTAGAATTACAGATGGCTGTGACCATTGTGAGAGTGATTAGAATTGAACTCAAGTTCTCTACAAGAGCAGCAGGTGCTTATAACTGCTTGGCCAACTGTCCAACCCCTGACTGTAGTTTTGTGGTTACATTTTTTTCTTCTCTATGGAACAGTGGCTTCTTAGAAAAGCATTTGTCTTGCTCATCTCTGGACTAAGAATGTTAACCTAATTGTATAGGAAACTGACAGAGGTTAAATAATTTGATCAAGGTTATATGATTAGCCAGGCATATTGCCTGACGTCTGTGATACCAGCCTTTGGGAGGCTGAGGTAGGAGGGTTGGTGGAAGTTTGATGCCAATTTGGGTTAGACTGTGAGACCCTGTCTCAAAAATTAACAACAGATTACACGTCTGAATAGTGGCCAGGCTGTCAGACTTAGCACTTGTGTTGTTTCAGAGCTCAGGTACTTTACCATCCTCTCTCCAGTTTGTAAAAACATTGGTACCTTTCTTTTTTTAAATTATGTTTATTTATTTTGTGTGCATGCATGTGCTGTAACTTGTATCCACATAACAGGACGACCTGCAGGAGCTAGTTCTTCTCTCAGGTGAAACCTGGGGTTCAAACTCAGGTCATCAGACCTGATGTCAGGCACTTCTATCAGCCGAGCCCTCTCAGTGGTTCACCTTTTTATTTTTTTGCTGTGCTTAGACCCTTATACATGCAATGGGAGCAGTCTGTCACTAAGCTACACCCCCAACCTACCTTCCTTTTACAGATATTTCAACAGTTTAATTCATAGTATATCTTATTCACAGATAATACATAAAATAATTGATTTGGGTTATGCCAAAGATGTTGATCAAGGAAGTCTCTGTACATCTTTTGTGGGAACATTACAGTATTTGGTGAGACAGTATTTCTTTTATTTGATTTTTTAAAATTCTCCTTGTTATTTCTTAAGTAGTTCAAAACAATAGTAACTCTTTTCTTACAATGTTGGCACTTAAAGCAATTTCTATTTTAAGGCCCCAGAGCTCTTTGAAAATAAGCCGTACACAGCCACTGTGGATTATTGGAGCTTTGGGACCATGGTGTTTGAATGTATTGCTGGATATAGGCCTTTTTTGCATCATCTGCAGCCATTTACCTGGTAAGAAATGATGAGAACTTTGGCATAATTAATGGTAATGGAAATTTTTTGGTTGTTTATTTTTATATTTCTTTCTATTATGATGAAATTATCTTTTAACTCAGAATTGGATGAGATTATGTGGTGAGAAACCTTGCGAGTGTTTGTGAGAATCAGGTTGTCAACTAATGTATCTTGTTTTATAGGCATGAGAAGATTAAGAAGAAAGATCCAAAGTGTATATTTGCATGTGAAGAGATGACCGGAGAAGTTCGGTTTAGTAGCCATTTACCTCAGCCAAACAGCCTTTGTAGGTAAGTGTGGAAGATGAGACAGTTTTGAGAGTAGTTGTCTGTTTCATGTAGCATTATCCAGTAGACCTTTTCATGAGGATGAAAGCATTGTCTGTCTGTCACATGAGGTATATGCCTGGCTGGTGGAGGAGAATAGTTAGTGTGACTGAGAAATTGAATTTTCAGTAAGTAGTAAATACAAATAGCACTGTGATTAGTGATTATCCTGTTGGATAATACAGATGTAGAACTGAGACTACTGCCAATCAACGGATTGACTTTGAAGCTAAGAAAACTCACAGAATAAAGAATTAAATGGCTTCCCTGAAGATTAAAAGTTGGACTCATTTTTGGATTTGCCAGTCAGGAAGTGATGCAGGAATTGTGGCTGGTTTTTTAAGGAAGAAATTTTGTTTCTTGTCATTACATGAATTATTTGAAAGTAAGATATAAACTGATACTAATAAGTCATGGCCAGGCAATGGACAGCCTGTAAAGTTAAGTCCGATTAATTGGAACAGAATGATATTCATCTGGTTTTTATTAATTTTTCAGTTTAATAGTAGAGCCAATGGAAAGCTGGCTACAGTTGATGCTGAATTGGGACCCACAGCAGAGAGGGGGACCTATTGATGTTACTTTGAAGCAGCCAAGATGTTTTGTATTAATGGATCACATTCTCAATTTAAAGGTCAGTTTTAATGGGCTGCATTTTAGAATACCTGCATTGACTTTAACAAGTTGAAAATGAACATAAATTTTATTTTAGCTATCTTTTCCTGGTGTCCATTTAAAAATGAATATTGTGTCCTTAAAGTAGATAATTTATTTCTTTAGCTGGGTTTTTCAGTTGTGTAAAAGTAACTTTTATTCACCAGGTATAATTGTTGTCTCGGAGGCCTACTGCTGAAAAACTCACCCTTTGAATCTTTTTCTGAACTCTGGCTTGCTGGTTGTTTAACTGTTCTGGCCCAAACTCTTCTGCAAGCTGACTAATTCAAACTGGTTTCTTTCTGCTTCTGACTAAATTGTAGTGCTTGGCCTCAAACTAGCTCTGGCAATCTATTTTAATCTTCTGGCTTCTTCTCATTCTTCTCACTCTGTCTTCACCTGCAACCTGTCTTTATAAAACTGCCCAAGTAAAATTGCCTCCTCCACTTTCTCTCTCTCTCCCTCTCTTTTCTGTCTGTTTTTGTGAGAGTTGGACATATCGTATCTGTCTCATTCTGTCAAATCTTTTTCTGATTTATTACTTTTGTCTGCCACTATATTAGATGTCACTTTTCAACATGACTGCTTCCATCTACGAACTAACTTTACCTACATTGTTAAGGATTAAAGGTGTGTGTACTAAGGGCATGTCTGTATTCCAGCCAGATCATACTGTAATCCAGAGCATGTCTGCATTCCAACTGGATCACATAGACCTAGAAGGTCTTTGGATGTGATCCCTTGCCAGAGAAGCAATGCTGCTGGATTAAACTTCCTCTACACAGGTGTCTTTGGGATTTCCACTTAGGACGTTGATTGGTGTCATTACCGCTTCATTTCTTTAGATTTACTTGTACTGGGTGTGGCTTGGTGAGAAGGCTCCCACTTGGCTCACATCTGTATCTTGCGATACAACTTACAGTCAGTGCAACATGAACTGCCTCTTCTGAGAAAGTCTTTTTATTTCTGTGTCCAAGAAACTAACACATTTCCCTTTTGCTTTGCAAGTTTCATTTAAACTGATCTGCTTGTAACCACCACATGACTCGTACCTGAATCTCTTAACCTCTCCCTCCCCAGTCAGGACCATCTTGTCACCCACTGCTGCTCATGACATCAAACCCTTTGTCTATATTGTGCTTTGACACATTCTATCCTTCTGCCCAGAATGATCTATACTTTGCACATTTCACCTATGTTGATTACTATATCTTCAGTTACTTTTTCTTTAGGAGGTCTCTGTCACACAATTAGTCACTTAATATTTTCTATGTTCTCTAAGTATTTCTCACCTTTTATCTGCAATTTTTTATTTAAATTTTCTTCCTCAATGCTTTTTTATTAATTTTTGTTTTATTATTTATATATTTATTTTTATTTTCAAATTTCTGTATTATACATTACATTTTATATATTACATATACATTTCTATATAGAAATATACATTTATATATAAGTACATAAAATAAATTAGATTTATAAAATATGTATAATATATACCTATATGAATGAATCATTATATTTGTTATACAATATATTATATACTGTATATAAAATTTATAACAAAATATAAATATATTAAAATAAATTATATTTATACAATAAATAAATATTTGTGATAATTTACTGATTAATTTGTTTTATTAATAGTTGTATATGCTACCATTCAGTACCAAGAGGGCATGTATCAAGTTTTCAGTACATACTTACTGATGTGAATGAGAGGTATAGATAGTTCTGTTATTACCATATGCCTGGAAACAACTTCATTTGCAATCATTTATTACTGACTATATAGCAGAACTTCTTAAACATTTTTTCCATTTTGTCTGAGAAATTTTTCCCTGGCTAGAAAATATAGGTATATACAGCACATGAAATCAGACATTTACTCATAAGGAATTTTATTTTAAAATGTTTCTTTGATGTGCATATATAATTTTACCTTTTATTAAATGTGAAAAATGTACATATTAATGAAATGGATGTGGTTCTTTATTTTTACATAAGAGTCTTGGCTGAGTATTTGATACTACAGGATAGAATATATCATCAGCAAATTTTAGAGTTGGTTGATGCCTTGCTTTTATTATGGTCATTGCTGAGAACGCTCTTCACATAAGTACTCAGTACAAAGTGACAGACATATATTGAAGAACATTGCAGAAATTGGAAGTTCTGTCCTGATCTCAAGCCAAAATTCATTTAATAATTTTTTTAAAAATTTTTTAAAAATCAAGTCTATAGTAAGTACAATCTAACCATAATAATTTGATACTTACTAGATGAGGAATAATGGTAGGAAAATACTAAAAAAAATCTTTGTTTTCTCTAAGTAAACCGTTATGCTTTTATAAGAACAAAAGGTTATATGTACAGTAAAAGATGCTGCAGTCCATGGTATGCAGTCATCTAAGCTCTCAGCTCAGATAGTCCAAGAAGCAGTCATTGGCTTAATGTCAAGGGAGGGCAGTCACACTGTAAACTGCATGCTTTTATGTTCAGAAGCAAGGTTCCAGTGATGTCACACTGTGACACTAATGGGTACCACTGAGAATGCTGTGAAGGGGTATGCATTTGATTGTATAACAGTTGTGCATTCAGAAACGCATACTTAGGGCACCAAATTCTTTGTGACCTGGACATTCAGTTATGTGCTCCTATATATGGGGTCATAACCCACAGTGTAAGGAGCTGAGACCCAAGGTCAGGCTTTAAAATCGGATTGAGAACTCATAAATGTGTAAAGTCCAGTCTCGGCATCAACTCAAAGTAGGGTTTTGAGAGCATGTTGATACTATTCTTAGCTGAAACTGAAGAGATCTGCCTTCTGGTTTTGTTTTTCTAGATCATTACTCTGTATAGCCTGGCTGTCCTGGAATTAACTGTAGCCCAGGATAGCCTGAGCTCAAGAAAGCCACCTGCCTTTGCCTCCCTAGTGCTGTGATTAAAGGCCTGCACCACCATGCCTAGCTTGATCCTGGCTTCTTGTACTGTACCAAAGAAAAATCATCCCTTGGTGTGCAAGCAGTGCAGAACTTGGTTAGCCTCTTTTTTTCTGCGTTGTCTTTAAAAATATTTAGTTGTACACACCTATCCCTCCCTACCTCCCAACTTATACTAATCAACGCATTACCCTGCTTTTTTTTTTTTTAAAGATTTATTTATTTTATGTATGTGAGTACACTGTAGCTGTCTTCGGACACACCAGAAGAGGGCATCAGATCTCATTACAGATGGTTGTGAGCCACCATGTGGTTGCTGGGAATTGAACTCAGGACCTCCGGAAGAGCAGTCTCTTAACCACTGAGCCATCTCTCCAGCCCACCACCCTGCTTTTTACAATCATTATTTTTAGATTTAATTTTTTGTCTTTGTTTTCTAGATCTGTTTGTTTGTTTTTTGAGAGAGGGTTTCTCTCTGTAGCCCTGGCTGTCCTGGATTTGCTTTGTAGAGCAAGCTAGCCTCAAAGTCACAGAGATCTGCCTGCCTCTGCCTCCTGAGTGCTAGGATTAAAGGTGTGAGCCACCACCACATCCAGTTGACTTACTTATTGCATTTATATGAGTGTTTTGCTATGTCTGCAACATCTTCGTGGTGCCTGGTGCTCATCACCTTCCTCTCTGAAGGAGTCTGTGAGCCTTTGCTTGCTGTAGAGTATGGAGAAGGAGTCCATCTCATGTTATTTTTGGTTCATAAACTTCCAATTTACAGCACCACTATTTACCTGTCAGTGAATCTTAGCAAATATTTACCTTCTCTTTATTTTGAGTTGATGGATACCTTTCTCAAAGCATCAATCTCAGGAGGCTGACAGAGGCAGACAGATCTCTGTGAGTTCAAAGTCAGTCTGGTCTGCAGGTCTACATAGCAAGTTCCAGACCAACCATGGCTACATTAGATGAGTAAGGAAATTGTGGAGTACTGTTCATAGAATTTGGGAGGCTTTAGGCATACTTCCTAGGCTGAAACTAGGACTAAATTTTGTAGATTTATTAATAGAGGAAAGAGAAGAGTAGACATGGAAAGAGAAGAGAGATTTATAGGCAGGGTATACACTGAACAAAAATACAGAAACATGAGCTACAAAGCAGCTTAGTGTGATTGGACATTCTTCTAAGGTATTTTTAGATATACTATACCAGGAAGGCATATGCTGTCAGATTTCATAGCAATAAAATAGTTGTTGAAATATTTTTCTTTAAGAAAATACTTTAGAGATTCTAAAATAGTCTATGCTTCAGGTGCTGGAGAGATAGCTCAGCTGTTAAAGAATGTGTGTTACTCTTACAGAGGACCCAAAAATCTCTTCTCAGCATCCACATCAGAGACCTTACAAACCACCTATAACTCCAGAAGGCAGAGGCAGACAGATCTCTTTGAGTTCAAAGTCAGTCTGGTCTGCAGATCTACATTGCAAGTTCCAGATCATCTGTCTGCCTTTGCCTTCTGTGTGCTGGAATTAAAGGGGTGTGCTACCATGCCTAGCATAAAAAAGAATTTTTTAATTTTTTTTTTTTACCGCCTTTGTGGTCCTAATGTAACTATATCTTGAGTCCTTCCTTTATTTTGCTAGTATATTACCTTTTCATCATCCTGAGTGAGGTAACCCAGTCACAAAAGAACACACATGGTATGTACTTACTGATGAGTGGCTATTAGGAGAAACACTTGGAATACCCACAATACAACTCTCAGACCATATGAAGCTCAAGAAGAAGGAAGACCAAAGTGTGGATGCTTCAATCCTACTTAGAAGAGGGAACAAAATAATCATGGGAGATAGAGGATGGGAGGGACTTGGGACGGGAAAAGGCGGGGGGGGGGGGCAGGATTAAGTGTGGAAGGAGATGGAGGAGAAGTACAGAGGGTCAGGAAATTGAACAGAGGTGTGTAGCAGTGGGGGATGGGGAACTGGGGGTCGCCACCAGAAAGTCCCAGATACCAGGGAAGCAAGAGGATCTCAGGACACAACAGGGATGACATTAGCTGAAATACCTTTTCATTCTTAGGTAGTTTCTTCAAATATATCTTTTTTTCTATTACCATTAATTATTTCAAAATTCTGATCTGTTTCTCTCACTGTCCCTTTATGTGAGTGTGAGACTGTTGTCTTGTCCAGCTCTGGCCTTAGGCAGATTACCCCAGGGTCTGGTTGCTTTAGGAGAATAGTACTACTGTTCCTGTGGAAAGAGAAACCCATCTCTTCTATTAGATGATTGTTTCTGAGGCAACAGGAGGCAGAGTTGAGATCTAAGCTCTACCATTCATCAGTTGTGTGATCGCTAACAAACTATTTACCTTCTTAGAAGCCTGATTTACTCCTATGCTAAAAGGGAGATCAGAGGCTCTAAGTACAGGGCTGTTGAGTGAGAGCTCTTTACTCTGTCTGTTTCATTTATGAGATACTTTATAAAAGGGTGCATTTCCTTCTAGGTCTGTTTCTTGAAATGTTTCTTGAAATAAGTTTTTTAAAGTAAAATTTCTATTTTTTTATTTTGTGAGTCCCTAGAACTTCAAAATGTTATTTGTAAAACTAATATTTGGTTGTGCATTGTGGTACATGCCTTTGATCCCAGCACAGGGAGGCAGAGGCAGGAGGATTTCTCTGAGTTTGATGCCAGCCTGGTTTACAGAGTAAGTTCTAGGACAACCAGGACTACATGGAGAAACCCTGAATCAATAAGCCAAAATGCACACACACACACCCAAAAAAACCAACAACAACCAAACAGTCAAACAAGTAACACCAAATCCACAACCTTATATTGTTGTTTAGAAAAACAAATCTGAGCCTAGCTCTTGTAAAGTGTCATTTTGTAAGTATAGAATGTTTTATTGCTTTGGAGAAGGAGTGAGCCTTATCTAGTACCAAAGTAATTCCTGTGCTTAGATTCACCCTTCGATATCTTTCACAGAATTGATATGTGATAAATGGTCAATAAACATGTTTTCTTATTTATGCAGATAGTACACATCCTAAATATGACTTCTGCAAAAATCATTTCTTTTCTGTTACCATGTGATGAAAGTCTTCATTCACTACAGTCTCGAATTGAGCGTGAAACAGGAATAAATACCGGTTCTCAAGAACTTCTGTCAGAGACAGGAATTTCTCTGGATCCTCGGAAACCAGCCTCTCAATGTGTTCTGGATGGAGTTGTAAGTTCCTTGGGGTGTGTAGGGGGAGCTGGGGATCAAGGTCTTGCTATATAGTCCAGAATGACCTCTAACTTCCAATCTTCCTGCCTCATGAAACTGAAATCACAGGCCTGAGCTACCCGCACAGCGCTTTTTTTGTTTTTAGTTGACTAGTGTTTCTATTTATTTATGGATTATGCTATAGTTATTCAATATATGTGTATACTCTGCAATGACTAAACTCTAAGAGAAACAATTTCATTCCCTTGGCTATTTCCATTTCTGTGTGTTGGAACTTGCAAATTCTTTTCCTTTTCTTACATTAAAATATATAACTGTATATTTTATATAGACTGTAGTTATCCTTATGTCCTATAGAAACTGTGGATAAACATGTGATGCACACACATACAGCTAGGTGTTGTGGTGCATACCTTTGGTTCTCCACTTTTGCCAGGTAGATCCCTGTGAGTCCAAGCCAGTCTGGTCTACTTAGTAGGTTCAAAGCCAGCCAGAGCTGTGGAGAGAAACTGTGTTTCAAAAAAGGTTTTTTGTAACTTGTATTTTGTTTCTTCTTATATTATAGATGTACATATTGCATGCCATATAATATAGCCATCTCAATTGTAACTCATAGACTTTATAAAAATAAATTTAAATCAGTATAAAAATATTTCTACTCCTCATGTCCATTACCTCTTAGATTTCCATTCTACCCATCCCATTGACCTACTTTCTGCCTCTGTAGATTGCATGCCTGTCTGGGTATGTCTGTGTGTGGGTATATACATTTATGAGTGTCTACATGTACATATGTGCCTATGGAGGACAAAGATCAACCTCGGTGCCACTCCTCAACAACAATCAGGCTCTCTCATAGGCTGCAACTTATTGATAAGGCTAACCTGGTGTTAACCATGGGTTCTGGGGATCATACTTGAGTCTCTATGCTTATATAACAGTACTGATAGAACTGTTTCCCCAACTAGCATTGTATTTTGAGCTTTATCAGTCATATAGTGTGTGTAAGCATTTTATTCCATTCCTGTTTGGCTTTTTGAAAAAGCCTTGCTATGTAGCCCAGGCTGGCCTCCTCACCCTGTCCTGTGCTAAGATTACTCTGGCACCTAACCTTTTCTTTTTGATTACTACATAGTGTTTTATTCCATGGGTATAGCCTTTTGTGTTTGTTTGCATACATACCTTTGTTGTTGTTGTTGTTGTTTTGGTTCTTAATTGCTAAAACTAGAAGAACTTATTATTTTCTATTTTTTATTAATTTTTAGCAAACAAAATGATGGTGTTTGTTAAGCATTTTAATGTATATTTATTTATCATAATTTTTCATATACCTCCTCATCCATCGTGCCCTTCTTTTGCTGGTCTTCTTCTCCCTAAGCAGTCCCTGTCCTGCTTCATCTTCACATGAATTCCATTACCCCCTCTTCCATACCTTCTGTATTTGTTCTTTTGGGTCTGGTGATTATTTTTCACTTTGGACAATATATCTTTTTTCCCCTAGAGTAAACCTTGGGCCCTAAGTCTATAACGTATGAATGTGAATGCACATTGACTTGGTTCATTACATTTCACAGAAGGAAGTCTGGTGCCTAAGGATTTATAAAATCTTGAGTTTTCAAGAATCTTCACATTTTGGTTTCTTTCTTTTTCAGAGAGGCTGTGATAGTTACATGGTTTATTTGTTTGATAAAAGTAAGACTGTATATGAAGGACCATTTGCATCCAGAAGTTTATCTGATTGTGTAAATTATATTGGTAAGTAGAGTCCAGTTAGTGGCTGAACTTTAATCTTGAAATTACATGATTAGTCGACATGATCTTTTCATGCTTTTGTTTAGTATCAGTATCTGAGGTTTTTATATGTTGTTAAAAGTAGATTTAATGTAGTTTGGGAGGCGTGAAGGTAGATTTAAATCACTATAGCTCCTTCATATAGAAGACCTCCCTTCCTAGGGCTAGGGCTCTGTAGAGAGAATGAAAACCACTATTAGTTAAGCCTACTCTATAATTGTTCCTTCATTATATGTGTTCAAATCTTTACACACACAGCTTATTTTATAAATTTCATGAAGCTCAGCTGGCAGTTCAGGAGATAATAGCTATTTTTCAGAATTAGAAAATCCTGGTGGCCTGTGGAGGAGATGGGACTTGATTTAAAACTTGAAAGAAGTAAAGAATTAGGATTAGTAGAGAGAAAGGGCATATTCTTGACTGGAAAGAAACAAGGTTAAAATAAAAATGTACAAGAAAAATCTCAAGCTCCTTGAGAGAAGCAGTTATGTCAGTCATATGGTCCTTTGAGTTAGAGTCAGGCAGTAGATTCATTTTAGTGTCTATGGGATTAATATTTAGAAAGGAACTCACAATGAATGAAATACAGTGTCCTTGAAAATAGCTTACCTCCCTTACTACCATCTTACAGTACAAGACAGCAAGATACAGCTACCAATTATACAGCTGCGCAAAGTATGGGCTGAAGCAGTACACTATGTATCTGGGCTAAAAGAAGACTACAGCAGGCTCTTTCAAGGACAAAGAGCAGCAATGTAAGTGAGGTTTTTGGTTTTTTAAGCATAATGCCATGTGTATTGTGTACTCACGAATTATTCTTGCCAGGTTTCATTGAGCAGGATTTTGTACAAGGCTAAAATATTGAATATTAAAAAATTGGAAGTAGTAATTGCTGAGTGATCTCAGTTGAAGAAGATTGTTTATCATAGACATCACGGGCAGAAAATAGGTCAGCTATTTCTCATGAATTGATAATGAATATCTAGGTTTTGGAGGTTGGATACTACATGTTTGAAAATTGTTATTCAATGTTTCTGAATATTAATTTTGTTTTGTTTTGCTATGGCTTAGGTTAAGTCTTCTTAGATATAATGCTAACTTGACAAAAATGAAGAATACTTTGATCTCAGCATCACAGCAACTCAAAGCTAAATTGGAGTTTTTTCGCAAAAGCATTCAGCTCGACTTGGAGAGATATAGTGAGCAGATGACTTATGGGATATGTAAGTGTCTGGCTGTAGTCTATTTGTAAGGAATGTCTAGTCTCAAAACCATCTGCTCTTTTGTCTTGTTGACACATAGCCAGTTATTTAAATTCACATCAGAACAACACACAGGGATAACTTAAGTCATCAAACTGTTTCTGTTTTGAGGGTTAGCTCATTGAATCCCTTAATTGAGCAACTTATTTCATAATTGTAGTAAAATTTCTTAACTCTAGAGAAGATGAATAATACAGAAGAGACTTAAGACTGTGAAGTTCAAGTCTTATTTAAAAAGGCAAACAGAGTCTACACTAAGATTATTTCTAAGCAAATATTGTACTGAAATGTGTGCTTCCCCCAATTGGGGTACTGAAATCAAGATCTTAAGATAATGGTAGGAACTCTGGGGAATGATTACGTCACAGAGGAACCTTCGTGGATGACTCGTTTCCTTTAACAAAAGGCTGAGAGAGATTCCCTCTCCCTTTCTGCCATGAGAGAACACAAAGGCAGCCGTCTATGAGCCAGATCGTCTCAAGTTCCAACACTGAAATATTTGCCACCTAGAGTACATTTGGTTTTGTTTTAGCAGTGTAGCAGCTCAAATAGGATAACACAGCCAGGAGAATCTTAAATTAATTTGTTTTTCTGTTTATATGTACATACGTATGTACATACATACATACATACATACATACAATTAATTTCCAAGGTCATGTTTTTTTCTAATCCATCTGCTGTGGAGTTCTAGCTACTGTCTTCTTATTGAACACAGTCTTCTGACTCAACCTTATCTTCCCTCAGATGTGTTAAGGATTTATAAAGAGTTAAAATTCAAATAAACTGAATTTACTTACTTCATGAAACATCTTTTTTACGGAAGTAGGTTCTGTTTATATTTGTATTTGACAAAGATGTGGATATCTCAAAATACCCAGTTAGTGGTTAGAAGTGTCCAGTTAGTGGATATATTTATCCTCCAGCGCCATTTCTGTGTTTGCATATTATAGGCATTCTTGTGAGTGACAAAACATAATTATTTCATTAAAGCATCTTTAACTTGTCATAGGCATACTGTACAACTGTTAACATAGTGAAATAGATCTAGTTGTGCTAGAATATTTGACAATGACTGTCATGTTACTTTTCTCTTGTAGTGAACAAGGCAACTTATAAAAGAAAGCATTTAATTGGGTGCTTGTTTACAGTTTCAGAGGGTGTGTCCATGACCAGCATGGTGACTGGCAGGCAGGCATGGCTCCAGATCAGTAGCTGAGTGCTTATTTGATCCATAGGCAGGAGGCAGGGAGAGCAAGATTGGGCCTAGACTAGCATGGGCTTTTGAAACCTCAAAGTCCACTTCTACTGACAATTCTTCCAACAAGTCATGCCTCCTAATTACTTTGAAACAGTTGATCAACTGGGAACCAAACATTCAAATATATGAGCCTAGGGGGGCCAGTCTCATGAAACCACCACAGTGATAATTAAATTGTGGGGGAAAGCATGCATAGATTCCATTGTCTTCCTTACTTGTAAGAGAATAGAAAATATATCTTGTAACAATCATGTTAGTGAGAACACTTGAAGTAGAGGGGATAGATAGTGTTTTCTTTTTATACTTTTTAATACCTTTTTATTTATTTTTACAGTACTGGAATTGAACCTAGACTCTTATGTTGTTTTTGATACAAGGTTTTATGTAGCCTTGGGTGGCCTGGAACTGACTACATAGACCAGACCAGCCTTAAACTCCCAGAGATCTGTCTGCTTCTGCCTCCCAATCTGGAGTTAAAACATGTGCAGCCAAACTCAAAGCCTTGTGTACTCTAGGCTACTCTTCTACTAAGCTACATTCCTAGCCAACATTTAATTTTTCTGAAACATGTTTATGTATTGCTTCAAGATAAGTTTTTTTTGGGCTGGAGAGATGGCTCAGAGGTTAAGAGCACTGACTGCCCTTCCAAAGGTCCTGAGTTCAATTCCCAGCAACCACATGGTGGCTCACAACCATCTGTAATGGGATCTGATGCCCTCTTCTGGTGTGTCTGAAGATGGCTACAATGTATTCATATACATAAAGTAAATAAATTTAAAAAAAAAAAAAAATATATTTTTTTTTTTTTTGGAGGAGAAAAATACATACTATTCTTCTACAACTTCCATAACAGCTCTGTGGCTTAAAACAACATACATGTAAAAGCTCAGAATTTCAAGGCTAAAATCTAAAAATCAGGGTGCTAGCAATGCCATGATTCCTTTGAAACTTCCTACACCCTAGGATTACCAGCTGTGCGTGCTTCCTGTTCTTTGGCTTATCACTTTAATTGTCATCTAGCATTCTCCTTTGTGTTTCTGTGTCCCGTCCTCCCCAAGTCTGTCCTCTCTAAGGACACTGGAAGAGTCACACTGTGGGAAGGCCTAGCTTAATCTAGTGTGCATACATAGGTGATTAACTTTATAAATTGACCTGTTTCCAGGGAAGTTACCTTCTAAGGTATTGGGCTTAGGAGTATAGGATGCCTCTTTGGGAAAGACACTTCCAGCCCATTATGTATCCTTGAAAGATACGTACAGCAAGAAAGTAGCCAGGCTAATATTTAAAGGTATAAATTATTTAGGGGGAAGCCAATTTAGGCTTGATTTTTTTTTTTCTTTTTCTCTTCATTTCTTTTTTCTTTTTTTTTAGCTTCAGAAAAAATGCTGAAAGCATGGAAAGAAATGGAAGAAAAGGCTATTCACTATTCTGAGGTAAAATCATTGAACTCATTCTGTGTGTTTGATGTCTCCATTAGAAATTATCTTTGATTTTGACATATAAAAATTATTTATCTTTTTATTCCTGAAATTTAGACAAATATCTTGTATATGCTTTGAATAGAGAGAGGAAGGTTATCATGGGCTATAAAACAAAATCCAAAGGCACTGGGTAAACTTTTTAGCTTCCTTAAACTGTGGTTTCCATTATATATATGCATATATGTGTATGTGTGTGTACACATACATACATACATACATACATACATACATATTAGGGGTGACAGTCTTTTCTAATAGGCTTGTGAACATTAAGTGGAAGTCAGTAATGAGATGTATCATTAGTGTTTTTCTTACTGGTTTAAGTAAGATGGCTTTACATCTAGTTTAAATGGGACAGTTCTAGTTATACCTGATGTCTTCTCATATTTATCAATAATACTCTGTTTTATTCTCAAAACTGTATAGGTTTAGAGAACATATACCTCTTGAGGGAGGTGTAGCTCATTCCCTAGGTGGTGTGGTCCTTTCTTCTGCATGTCCATGATCTTGTGCTGTCACTTTCCTTGGTGCCAACTCATACTTAACACTGAGGATGTGAATAGGGCAGTTGGTATTGTGGAGCTGATATTGTAAAAAACGGCCGTGGTTTCCGTGACCACTTAGTTTGTCTTGTGAATGGCACTTCTGTTATTTTGCTTCTCCAGAGGCCAAAGCAAATGCTAGTAGTAGTTGACTGTGGTTAGAAGGAAGATGTAGGAATGTTTTTATTTTTATTCATTCATTCATTCATTCATTCATTCACTCATTCATTCATTTTTTGAGACCAGTTTCACTGTATATCCCTAGCTAGTCTGGAATTCACCATGTAGACCAAGCTGGCTTTGACTCACAGAGATACACTTGTCTCTGCCTCCTGAGTGCTGGGATTAAAGATGTACACCATTGCACCAAGCATAAGGTGTCTTTTATATGAAAGATTGTAAAAAGCATAACAAAGCCCCCACCATAGCTGAGGAGCTGTTAACAGTTATGGCTGCTGGAGGAAGGAGAGTCAGTTTTCTTTAAGGGGATGATCCTTAGTAGTTTGACTATGTCCTGTTGTATGGTCTCACATTCATTAATATATGATCATTCCGTATTGGACCCTGTGAAGTTGGGAGGTGTGAAAGGGAGGCTAGAGGGGCAGATCTGTGAGGAGTTAGGGGGAATACTGGGGAGTAAATATAAAAATGCATTATATACACCTGTGAAATTCTCAAAAGTTCAGTAAGTCATTGCTGTTTTTGTTGTTGTTATTTAAATATTTGTAACCAGTCTAGTGTGCTTTTTACTGTAATCCTAGCACTCAGGAAAGTAAGACAGGAGAATTACAAGTTCAAGAACAGCCTAGGCTGTGTAATGCCACTGTCTGATTAAATAAACAGATGGTTAGCTTTAACAGAATTCCTTGTAGTAAAATAGTCAGTTCTGCTGCTACAACAGCTCATGCTCTCCCTTTCAGACCTGAGCCTTTATTTACATGGTAGCAAGCCTGTCATTTTATTGGTTTGTGTCATATTTTAGGTTGGTGTCATTGGATACCTTGAAGATCAAATTATGTCTCTGCACACTGAAATCATGGAGCTGCAGAAGAGCCCCTATGGAAGACGCCAGGGAGACTTGATGGAATCTCTGTAAGAATGTATCTATGTTATTGGTCTTGATTCTATAATTTTTTGTTTTGTTCTTCCTACTTATATCTGGGTTTTTCTTAACCCTGATATATTCCTATGATATAATTTTTTAAAAAACACTCATTTATTTTGTTGGGAAGAGGTGTCATGCAACACATCACAGTGTACATGTAGAGAACAAAGGACACAGTTGTGGGATGATAGTTCTCCTGTTCTACCAGAGTGGACCCAAGAATTAAACTCAGGTTGTAAGCTTAGTTGTAAGCACCATCTTCTGAGTCATCTCTCCAGCCCTTAGAATATCTTAAAAGGAAGCTATTTCTTAGTCATAGGGAATTTGGGAAATAACTCTCTGAATTGTTATTTACTATTTAAAAGAAAATCTCCTTTGTGTGTGTGTGTGTTTAATATATATTTAAATTACAAATGATTTCCCCATATACTTCCCTTTTGGTCCAAGGTATAATCTCCTAACTCCTCTGTTGAGGTTAACTTCCTAAGTGTCTAGATTAGAAACTTCAGATTTTCTCTCTGATTACAAGCCATGATTTTCCCTCAGTTAAATGTTTCTGATATGTGGGTATTATATTTGTGTTGGAAGAGCAGAGCAGATCCGAAGCATATAAAAACTTCATGTTTTGGAAACTAGGAAGATGTCAAAGCACTTGCTTGCTCAAGCTTGAGGACTTGAGTTTGAATTTCCCAGAGCCCACATGTGAGTCTAGGTATGGTATCAGGTCTGCAGTCCTTGTACTTCTACAGCAAGGGGGACACACACTGGAGAGTCACAGTCCAGCTAGCTTAGCACAGGCAGCAGCACACAACAGAGACCTGACTCAGGGAGCCAGCAAGGACTGACACTGAAGGTTATCTTCTAACCTCTTCATATGGAATATGCAAGTGGACACCCACATACAGAGACACAGTTGAGTTTTGTTTGTTTTTTTTTTTTTTATTTTTTTTTTTTTTGGTTTTTCGAGACAGGGTTTCTCTGCATAGTCCTGGCTGTCCTGGAACTCACTCTGTAGACCAGGCTGGCCTCGAACTCAGAAATCCGCCTGTCTCTGCCTCCCAAGTGCTGGGATTAAAGGCGTGCGCCACCAACGCCCGGCTTGTTTTGTTTTTAAAGCTCTACGTTTTAGGGACTTGTATTCTTATTATTCAGTGAAATGCTCTGTAAAATATTCTTTGATGATCTGTACTTGCTAAAAAATTAGATCTTGTCCTAATAACCAATATTATTCAAGTCGTGTATTATTAATCATTAAGTTACTTCCACATACAGAAAGGTTTTTGGTTTTCTCTTTTGTAGGGAACAGCGTGCCATTGATCTCTATAAGCAGCTAAAGCACAGACCTACTGGTAAGACTCTTCCATCACAGTATTTAAAGGTGTTTTAGGAAACACCCTAACTGAACAGAGTGGGTGGATTCTACTGTTTACGTTCATAGTAAGATCCTGTTTTGGGATTCTTTTTGTGACATTCGAGGCTTTAGCTTTATGTTTATAAGATCTTAAAAGATTAGAAGGGAAAAGTAATAAGGCTATTGAAGTAGAAAGTTTTAAAATGAAGTGAAAAGAAAGTAGAGAAGAAAAAAGGGAATTTGGCATTGGACCAGTGAGTTTCGATTCCCAACACTCGCATAAACACACACATGGCAGCACACCCCTGTGGTCCCAGCAGCACTGGGAGAGCAGAGACAGATGGGTGCCTGGACTCAGTGGCCAGCCAGTTTAGCTGAAACAGCAAGCTTAAGATTCAGAGAGATACCCTATCAACAAGTCCGGTGAGATCCATTAAGGATGATACGTGAAGGTGACCTTGGGCCTCTGTACATATACTCTCTCCCCAACAAAAAGGAAGAGATAGTAACACATGCATGCACTGACACACACACACACACACACACACACACACACACACACACACACACACACACGGGAAATACTGATTAACTTAGAGAGCTTGGAAAGAATTCAACAGAACAGGTTCTGGATGGGATGGAAAGAGAAGCTGTAGTCAGTACAGAAGCAGTTTGTTCCAGAAAACCTTGCCTTCACCAGCACTGGTCACCGCTCATATCCTCAGGGGAACAGTTCGTATTGAACACTGCCAAATCCCTTTATTGTTGGGAGGAATGTAGTTTGGAAACCAAAAGCCTTGAATTCTAAATTGGATATTTTACTGACTAATCTCCAGTACATTTCCATGTTTCTATTCCCCTTTTGTGCAAAACAAGTCAAAGACTAGCCTTCTAACTCAGTAAGCTTTGGCAATGTATTTGAGAACATATTTATGGAAATACTTTGAAAACAATAAGGTGGTATCCTTGCAGTAAATAGTTAAAAATCGGCCACTAGTCAAGCTGACTGTCTAAGCTGCGGTGGCTCTGCCTACCTCAGCTGCCATGTTTCTCAGCCAGAGGGCCACATGCTTTCCACCGCCAGCCAGAGACGCCAGCTTGGGGGATGGCTCTGCCAATCTTCCACGCTGTCTCCGCAAGTCTGGGCATTGCCCAGACCATCCCTCCATCCACGCAGGCCCAGTAGGAAAATGAGATTCTAAAGCTTAAAGATTAATCAAAGGCTTTATATGTTTGGTAATGCTCAGTAACAATGTGCCCATACAATTAGAGTTGTTTCCCAATTAGCTAACCTAAATAAAAGTTGTTCCTCATGACTGCTCTCCATTCCTGCGTGGCTCTCCATTGCTCCTCCATCTCTGCTCTCCCTAGCTCCTCCTCTTCCTTTCCTCTTCCTTTCCTCTTCCTCTCCTTACTCCTCCTACCTTAGCTCCTCCTACAAGGTGGTGTGTGTGTGTGTGTGTGTGTGTGTGTGTGTGTGTGTAAAGAAGAGAAGAGAGTCTTTTGAGAATGAAGCTAGTCTGTGGAGGAGGTTTCTGGAATGATTAAGAAAGGACAGATTTTTTTTTTCTTTTTCTTTGTTTTCTCTCCCCCGTCCCCTCTTGCAGTAGTGGGGGATCCAGCCCAGAGCCTTGTATACGCCTGACAGTACTGATCTTTCTCTGAGCTCCAGTCCTACAACCTTCCCAAACCTCTTTTGAAACTCCTTCCATAGTTTTCTTCTTGGGGTAGTACAGAAGAAGGTTGAATGAGCAAAGTTTGCACAGTTAGTAGCAAGGATAAACAGTAGTGATAATTTTGTTTTCAGGCTTATTATTCAAGAAAACACTGGAATGATACATCAGCAATTTTCTGCTCTTCTAAACTCAAATTGCCATTTTCTGAAGTACAATACCTGATGCTAGTAGTTTTAAAAACTGAGATAGTGTCACTTAAAAACTCAGTGTAATCAACAACCATCCCATTTGAGGACATCTATCAGATGCCATTTGACTTTAAGTTGAACTTCAGGTGTCTGCTGATGCATTTTATCAGTACTTCAGATTTTGTTTACGTCAACTTTTTTTCAGATGAAATTTTCTGAGCTGTAAACAGATGGATTAGCATGAAATTCCAACAACCTGTTAGGGCAGTGAAAGCCTGACTCACTCACTGTTCTAAGTAAGGAGGTTAGTCATGTAAGAGAGCTAGTCTCTTGGCCAAGGGCTGCATCTGTGCCGGAATTTGGGTTAGTATGGGTTAAATCAACCAGACTATTTTTTCAAACACAGGCAACATAAGTCTCTAAGGATTAAACATAGAACCATGCATAAATTTACTCTTTAGAAGGTATCTGTGTGTGTGGGTGTGTCCCGTTTGTGTAGGGGTACCCACAGAGTCCAGCAGAGGAGGGCATCAGATTCTCCTGGAGATGTCACAGATGCCTGTGAGCCGCCTAGCATGAGTGCTGGGATACAAATCGGGGTCCTCTGGAAGAGCAGCAAGGACTCTTGACAACTGTACTAGCCTTGTAACTTTACTTTTTGATATATAGTATAGTTGTCATTGAACTATACTTCAATGTCTTAGAATTTATAGTTAATTTAAAAAATTTTAAAGCCACATGTTAATTTAAATGGTGTTGTATTTTTTCATGGAGAAATGTGATTTACCTCAAATAGGACACCAGTGACAAGACAAGTAATGATTTTGTCCTGGTCTTGTATGGCAAATCTGAGTTTCATCAGGATTACTTAGAGGAGCTTCGGGAGCTACACTTCTGAAGAAAATCTCTCCTCTTTCTGTCTCTCTGTAAGAACTCTTTCAGGTTCTGGGAAAGGGGTACGGCCTCATGCACCCCTCTCTGTTTCATGGCAGACTGTTAGTGAGCCTAGCCTTACTATGTAATCACAGCTTCTGAGAGCTCGCTAAGGCAACAGCAGTGTCACACTTCAAGGACAGTGTTCTACAACAAATTGGAGAAATTTTGTAGACTACTTGCAGTGTTTTAAGAGTCTTTAAGGAACTTCCTGTTTGGAAGTTGGTGTGTTCTACAACAGAGAGGTTACAAACTGAACTGAAATTGTTTCTAGATCACTCATACAGTGACAGCACAGAGATGGTGAAGATCATTGTGCACACCGTGCAGAGTCAGGACCGTGTTCTCAAGGAGCTGTTTGCTCACCTGAGGTAGGAAAACTGCTTCACTTCTCCTGAATGCCAGGGTATTCATGTTCCTTTAAAATTGTAATACTCTTTCTCCGGTAAATAATTCCGTCAGTGTCTTAGAAAACATGGTGATGTGTAAGCCCTGAATATATGTGTTACTTTTTATTTTATTTATGTGTATCATAGCCTTTTATCGCTATCTGTAACTCTGGAACCGGAGTTACAGATAGATGTGACTGGGTGCTGGAAGTTGAACCCAGGTCCTCTAGAAGAGCAGCCAGTGCTCTTTACCTCTGAACTATCTGTCTAGCTCCTACATCCATTGCTTTTGAGATCATCCATTAAATAGGATGCTGGTTGTGCTTTATTTCCTCTGGGTTTGGATGGCGTATGTTACACAGTCTTGAGGGATGTGACAGGTATCTGACACTGACTCAATCTTTCCAGCAAGTTGTTGGGCTGCAAGCAGAAGATTATTGATCTACTCCCCAAGGTGGAAGTGGCCCTCAGTAACATCAAAGAAGCTGACAATACTGTCATGTTTATGCAGGGAAAGAGACAGAAAGAAATTTGGCACCTCCTTAAAATTGCCTGTGTAAGTATTTATTAGTGAACGTAATACTGAGTTACTGTTATTTTCTGTCAAAGAGGGTTTTTTATCGCTTTAAGATATGTCCTTTGAATATTTATACTTTATATTGGGTCCACCCATTTCTTGTTCAGTGTCCAAGTAATTAGAGATAGGATGTTTGTATTATCACTCCCCTTTCCAGTGCTGCTGCTGCTGCTGCTGCTGGTGGCGGTGCTGGTGGCGGTGGCGGTGGCGGTGGCAGTGGTGGTATGTGTGTGCTTTTGTTTGTTTTTTTTGAGACAAAAGCTCTCTCTAGCCTAGACTGGAAGCTAAAGTACCTCAAAGCAATTTTCCTGCCTCCCAATTGCTGCAATTAGAAGTGTGGTGACACCCAGCTCAGTCCCCTCTTTTACAGTTCTCCCTACCCTGGATCACTGTGGTTGCCCAACCCAACTTGGAGTAACTGCGTCTCACTTGTTAATAAGTCAGCCTTGTTGAGCTTTTCCCTTCCTGCAGACAACAGCTGCATTAGAGAAATTAGAGTCATTGAGCTTCAGTCTATGTAGTTAGGTACACTCAGTTTTAGTCAATGAAGAAAAGGGACCAGAAGTGGTATAGTTAGTAGAGGTGAGAATAGTTTTGTTTACAAACTGTCCAGTTTTTATACAAGAAATAATTGAATTATAAATCTTAAGAGTATGGTTTTTTTTAAAATTATATGAATCAAGAGGTGCTTGCCTGCAACTTATTGTGTGTGTGTATGTGTTTTTCCTTCAGACACAGAGTTCTGCCCGCTCTCTTGTAGGATCCAGTCTAGAAGGCACAGTAACCCCTCCAGTATCAGCATGGCTGCCCCCTACATTAGCAGACCGTGAACATCCTCTGACATGTGTGGTAACTCCTCAAGATGGGTGGGTTTACTTTGTAACAATAGGCAGTTGTGTTTTAGGGGAAAGGGTAGGACAGAGGCAGCAAGCATGATAGTTAATAGTGCCTTCAGACCAGGGTTCAGTTTTGACTGTCTCTTTTTTTATAGTGCTGAGTAATTGTTTTTTCAGTGTTCATATATTGTCACTTTAAAATGAGAACATCTTATAGAATTACTGTGAAAATTCAGTTGAACATTGTATGTAAATGCTTGGGAAATGAATTTCAGTAAGTATTACTAATAAGTGTCAGCTCAATCCAAGCTCTAAGCCATTTCTGTTCCCACGCATCAGTTTCCTTTACCCAAACTGTACTCATTCCTTAACTACTCATCTCTACAAGAAGTTATACTTTTTGTGGTTTGTATTTTTTGGTACTCAAGTTCTCTTTTAATACAGTAGTGAGGTCTATTTCTTAAATTTAAATTTCTCTGTTCTTTAAATCATTTTGCAAATAAGAACTCAGATTTGCAGCCCTGCATTTTGTCTTTAGTTCCTACTCTTCTGCTGAAAGCTGAATGACTGTCCGTCTCTGTTATCTTCTCAGCATAAGGTGTGCCGTGGTCAAGAGGCTCTTTGCTAGCTTGTGTACTGTCGCTTTTCTCACAACTCACGGAGACCTCCACAGCACCAAGTACTTCTCGGAAGTCTGCCCATAACTAGTTTTGCAGACATGCACTCATGTTACATGGCTGCTCAGGAGGTCACGCAGTGGCATACTCTACTGCTTATGAGAGAACAAGCACATGGCAGGAAGGCAAGCTGATCCCAGGTATTTCCTTGTTAAAAGAGAGCAAGTTCCAGGGTAGATCTCAGGGTCACTAAATATGTGGCCCAGTATGAATACATAAACAAGCATAGTGGAGGTTGTGATTTTACAGACTTCAGAAAATTCTCTGTTAGAACTGAAGGAAGTAAAATTTAGTACATCCTAATCCTTTGTTTTCGTTAAAGGTATTTAGGCTTGGTAGGGATGCTAATTCCAAATACCAGCTCTCTAGGTAACTTCCAGTTTGAGCTTGTGGTTGTTTCCAACAGCATATCTTTATCAGAAAATACATTTCCTGATAAACGAAAGCTGGTCTTGATTACAATGTACCTCTGGTACTTTATTACCAAGATTAGGAAATTGTTAACATGAAATTTTCTGAATCAGTACTTAGTTTTAAGCTAACAGTGGCTGTTACCCATGGCCTACAGTTGATAAAGGAGGGAGTGAGGGCTGGTGAAGGACAATGGCAGAGGACGTAAGGAAGAGGACACATGAGAAGCTAGAGTCAAGGCCACCTTCACATACAAGAACCCAGGGACACTGTGGTTCATGATTTTCATCTGTTGTTTTCATTGGTTGGCTTGCTTGGTTTCATTGCTACTACTTGTGGTTTTCAACCAGTTTTTCTCTTTCCTGGATCTCTGGAAACCAGACTCCACTTTGAATCTCTACCCTATGTTTGTGTGTTCAGTGAGCATGGTGGTGTTTTATTGTCTGCAAAAGAAAAAGGAAACAATCCAAAACCAAACAAACAAAAATGTATCCATTTGTGTATACTAAGGGACCTCCCCCTAATCTGGTACTTCTTCATCAGGGAAGATGGGAGACTGCTACCAGTACTACCTATTTCAAAAGAAAATCTGATGAGAGTCACAGTGGACTTGCTAGAATAGACAGATGCAGTAGCTTATTTGAAGTGGGATACTGTGTCTGAGTGGGAGGGATAAAGAACCTGAAGACAGCAGCAGCCAGCTTTGCTGGAGTGCTTGGTTGCAGAAAGTGGTAATCCTGACTTAGAGAATCAGAAAGTAGGCAATGCTCAGGGGCTCCTTTGCTGAACTTGAAATGGTTTTGTTCTTTCATCCATCAGAGAGACGTTAGCACAAATGATAGAAGAAAATCTGAACTGTCTTGGCCATTTAAGTACTATTATTCGTGAAGCAAATGAGGACCAGAGCAGTAGTATGATGGTAAGTTTGGTGTTTAGATACATTGAATACAAATGGTTCATTTTCTGTGTTGGCCATGTCTGGTGTTTGGGGCGTGTGTGTGTGTGTGTGTGTGTGTGTGTGTGTGTGTGTGTACATATACATATATGAATAGAACTCAGAGGAAGGAACATTTGAGAAATACTTTGAACCTCAAATTGCCATCTTTTTATTATGCAGGAATGTTTATCCTGGTTTCTGTGATAGATAGCCTTAAGAAAAGTAATTTAGGGGAGACGAGTTTATTCTGCTTATAATTATTGGCTACAGGCCACTATTATAGGGAAGTCAAGGCAGGAACTTGAAATAGGTAGACGTAACAGCTCTAGTCAGGAGCATAGAGAAAGAAACGTCTGCATTCCTAACAGTACTCAGCTCACTGTTTTCATATTCATACAGTACAGGGCTCAGCCCTGGGCTTGGCGCTGCCAGCTTTTAGGCTGGGTGTTTGCACATCAGTTAATGAAATCAGGCTGACCCCAGCTGTCCTTGGGAGCCTCCTCCCAGGTGATTCTAGGTTATGTCGACTCTACAAAACTTCCTGTCCTGCCTGTAGTAGCATCATGTCATCAGTGAACATCACAGTAGCATCTGCAGTCAGAGTAAGCTTTCTTCACAGTGTGAATGCATGTACCGTTTTGCTTCAGCAATACAGTTTTTTCAGTAAGATGATAGTTTTACTCTATAATTACTGTATTTGATGCATATAAGATTAATTAAGCTAATTAATAAAAGTGGTTATATCAAGATTTAGTTGCTTTGAACTATTGACTTGTTAAAACTGGGAGAAGCAACTCTAAAATACTAGCAAATTCACTGCATTTAGTTTCAATACCAACTCTTTGTCTTCCTACTTAAGAATATTTTACTCAGATTTTTATGATAATTTTAAAATATTTTTGAAATTCCCAGAAGATAAAGTGAGCTAAATTCAAGCTGTAACTTCTGTAGTTTTTAACTTTTTGAATTTTGATTATACAATGTCCAAACATTAAAACAATTTTAAAAAGTGAACTCTACATTTGGGTAACTGCTAATTGTGACTTTGCATGCCTGCTTTTAGAGTCTTGATTGGAGTTGGTTAGCAGAATGACTCGCCATTTGTTCACTGTCCTTGAGCCTATGACGCTGTCCCAGCACATCCTCTAAAGTCATCTTTACTTGTGGAAGCCATTCTTCACATACCAGTCCGAGGAGGAGAGGGCTGTGAGCAGAAACTACAAATGACTTTACAATCACAGTAGCTTCCTGTTTTGTTTTATTTTTTGTAAATAATTGTGATTTCTGAACAGATAGGATTTTATAACAAATTAGTGGAATTAATTATTTTTTTAACACTGCAGCTAATTAGGGAGCTCATTAGTGACCTGCTTATCTTATAATGTTGGAGAAATACTACTAATGTAGCTGATAAAAAAGATAACCTTCTAAAGGTCTAAACTGTAAGCATAAGGCCCAACATGGTATTAGTATACAGAGATGAGAAATTCACCCAGTGTTCACTTTTTTTTTAATTAGTAGGTCTTGGATATATATTTATCACTATTCAATGTGCAACATCTAAATATTATGAGACTATACCGATTGGCAATTCCATAGCATAGCTCTAATGAAGATACAAATCAAATAAATCTATCTCTTAAGGCGTTGTTAACCTTGTCTTCTTTCTTAGAGGAATGCCTGCAAAAGTAAATCAGATAACTCACATTTTGAGGTACATGGTTTTGTGAGAATATTATAATCATAGCTACAATTAAAGGACTGATATTTTACACACTTCATTTTCTTTAGAGCTTCCAGAACATATTAGAATTTCCTTAGAGACATATTTGTATCAGCTTGCACATGGAAATTACTTCTCATGTCTTCTAGAACTTTGACAGTGTTCTTCAATATGATCTTCCCAGTTGTAGCCTATAACAGTGAGGTTCCAGTAGGTCTCCAACATCACCTCTTTGTAGAGACTCTTCTGGGAAGGATCCAGCAAACTTCACTCTTCCCCAGTGAAGTTCACATGTACGTCATCAAAAGTCACTACATCCACGTCTTGATTTCAGTGCTTCCCTGAAGTCCCCTCACAACACCCGACAGCAGAGCTCAGAGCAGGACACAGAGAACCATTCAACCCTGCACAGCTGCAGCAAACTTGCTGAAAGCCCAGTGTTCATTTTAAGTAAAGCTTGTCTATGGAGTTTCTGTGGAAGAGAATGCTCACAAGTAAACTTGGGCTTTCTGAAGACTAAGCCCCGCCTCCTTGTGTTGTTCTCAGCAAGTGCTCTTCATGGCATCACATGGAGTTAGATGAATCTCATCTTTAATTGCACATTTAATAGAGTCCTTTTCTTATGTGTGGGATTGGACATATGTGCCTTTGATATCAGCTGACCGTAATGAATTGTGTTGTGTGCTATGTGTATATGTATTTAAGGTGTACATTTAATAATATCAAAGAGAAGGTGCCTGTTAATTTATAATGTATTTGAAAGTTGTATGTTTTTGCATTTGTAAAAATGGGTCACTTGTTTAAATAATCTTTTATGTCTTGTCACACAAGTTTCAAAAGGTCTGCATTCCTTTATCTGTAATTATAGCCTCAAAATCCAAGAAGTTCTGAAAACAAGGTTTTTATAAACTTGATAACAAAATTCATTTGCTTCTTGATCTATTCTGATCTGATACTGAATCTGCTTATCCCATTTAGTGTGAATATTCATGTATTTTGCCACATAAATATTAACATGTTTGATTATTGGGGTGTGTTGCCATAAACTCTTTTAAGGGTTGATGTAGTGTGGTGTATGCACAGAATTACTTTTCTAAAATCTGAAAATTTTTTCATTCTGAAACATTGTGGATCTCTGAAAGATTGTGGATCTCTGCCTTTTGTTAAATAATTTAGAAGGTGTTATTTTCTTTTAAAAAAATGTGAAATGCTTTTATATTTTAGTTTTACACTTTGTGTATTAAATGATTTTAAAACTATTTTTGAATCTCTACTCATTACCAAAATGCAGTTTGTAGTACTATAGGCTAATATGGTTTGAGAAAATATAAAGGGTCATGTGATAGGTTAGGAGCACAAATAACAAGATAGATTCTTTATACCTTGTTGTTTGTGTGTGCCCACATGTGTGTGGAAGCCAGAGGACAACTGGGTATAATCTTCAGGAATATTGCCCTACCTTTTGTGAGTCTGCCAGTGCCCTGGAGCTTATCAACTAAGGTAGGTTGGGTAGACAAGAAGACGTGGTCTTCTTGTCTTTGCCTGCCCACTTTTGCCACTACAGGTACCTACCACCATGCCTGGCATTTTAGATGTTTTCTGAGGAACCAAACTCAAATCCTCCTGCCTGCAAATCATATGCTCTGCTGATCAAGCCATTTCCCCAACCATGCACTTTCTTCTAGAATTAAATAGACTTACTTGGAAGTGTTAAGGAACTTCCTTACTGTGATGTTTTTACTAGGAGGTACTAGTACTACTCTGTGTGTCTAAAAGCATTAAGATCTCATCATTTACGCTGATTGTATCCCCTATCCCATTCATGCTGCCATTCTCCTAGCATCTGAGTCTGAAAGCTTACAGTTGTCTTTTATCTTTTGGCTTGGTTTTTAGACAAGGTCTCACTATTAACTTAGTCTAGTCCAAACTTGCCATGTCTCTTTAATCCCCAAGTCTTAGCTACGGGTATGTTGCATACATGGCTATCTTGTACATCTATGTACGTGGCTATCTTCTGTCTTTTACATTATCAGGTGTCAAAGTCTCTTTACAGATAGTAATTCCATCCCTATCAATTGAATGATAAGCAAAGTCTTTATTCATTAGCTCCATTAGGCTCTTAACAATAAGTACATATTTGCTGGGTACTTCTTGCTCAGAAGATCGGAACCTACTTGCAAAGGTCAGAAGAACTTTTGGGTTTATTTCTGTTGTTTTAAAACAGGATCTCACTGGACAGCCTGGAACTCCCTATGTAGACCAGGCTAGCTTCAAACTTTAGTAACACTCCTTCCTCTGCCTCCCAGGTGTGTGCTATCTCACCTGGCTGACTTGAAAGTTAATACTGTACACAGAGAAACCCTGTCTCAAAAAACAAACAAAAAAATGTAAGTATTGTTCAATTTTTTCCCAGAAATCATGAATTTTTTAACTATCATAACCATCGGCACAAAGATTTGCCATATTTCAAGATCCATTTTGATGGGCCATGAGTGGAGTGACATTCGGACCTTCTAGTATACATGACTTATGTGACATGAGGCAGAACATATTATAAGATCACCCCAAACTCGATTCTGAAGAATTAGTAGACCGCTCTTATTTTTTTTTCAGTAGCAACTTACAGAATTAAAATCAAAGTTATCAACTGTATATACTTCATTCAGTAGGCAACATTAAGAGGAACTAAGAATAAAGCCTACCTATTCTAGCACAGGTACTAGATTCAAAGCAAGTTTGTGCCCCCAACTCTCCCATTGAACCCAGCATGCCACTGGGCGAGAGCTCTACTGCTGACCTCCATCTGCAGCTTTGCTGGCCTGAAACTCTCAATCCTCCTGCCTCCACTTCCCAGGGATTACAGGCATGTACTATCATGACTTTTTTTGTTTTTGTTTTTTTTGCCAGGGGAAGGGGACCAGAGGAGGTGAAAACAGCTAAACTGTAATATTAGTCTGAAGCAGCAGGCAAGGCCCCATACATTCCTAGGTAATAAAAGTCAAATGCATGATACAGGTTAGTGCATGTATTGAAGGGGTGTGGCTAGATTTGCTTTTACAGGGCCCTGAATTGGTTCTCTTGCCTGTCATTTTCTTTGTTACCAGCATCGTAACCCTGTATCTGCTGCTGTTTACCTGTTTCACACCTTTCTGTCTGTCTTCACTCTCAGCCAGCAGCCAGTTACAGATACAATGCCCCTAAAGCACTACTTTTTGGTATTTTCCTGCATAGGAGTTTGGTAATCCTTCTGACCTTGTTATCCTTTTCTAGTTGTCTCTGCCCTTAGTGAAATAGAATGTCCTTATTTCCCTTGTGTTCATATATCTCTAAACTGTATCCTTTCCTTTGTCGTTTTGTTCTGTAATACATGCACATGGTGCGGGTTTATCTGCTAAACTCTTTATGATTATTAATTATTGTATGTGTTGGCGTGTGATATGAAGCCTGGGCCTTTATGTGTGGAGATCAGAGGATAACTTGCACAGTCAGTTCTCTGCTTTTCACCGTGTGGGAGCTAGGGTGAAAATAAAGTCAGTGTGGCCACAAACTCTACCCATTGAGCCATCTCACTAAGTCCACGTGGTGTCGAATGTTAAAATACAGTGAGAAAAGGTTAACAGCACTGGCTGCTCTTCCAGAGGACTCTGGTTCGATTCCCAGCACTGATGTGGCAGTTCACAACAGTCTGTAACTCTAGTTCCAGGGGATTTGATGCCCTCTTGTCACTGCTGAGGGCACCAAGCACACATGTGGTGACATACATGCAGGCATAACACCCATAAATGGAGTCTTTGTCTTCTTGCCACCCATTTCCTCTTAGCAGAAAAATGGATCCCAGACTTCGCAAATGTGGTTCTAGCCTAACCTGCCATAAAACTCCTTTCAAAACCCTCTCGGCATCATGGAAAATCAAGCATTCACTGACAAGACTGGTCAAGACAGTCCCAACCCCCACATTCAGCATTTGTATATCACTCTGATCCTGTTTCTGCGCGTGGCTTTCAGAAAGCCCTCTGGTGTAGCGTTCTGGCACAAAGTAAATATTCAACCCATCATTCCTTGAGACTGGTCTGGTAGTTTCCTTAGTGCAGGGTGTGGACCTGTAGAACGTGCTTGCCAGTTACACCAGGGATGAACTACAAAAAGATGAAGGAACAATTCCTACACTGAAGGGCTGTGCACTAGCATGTCCTGACCAGCGTCGGTCCGAGTGACCCACCCCAGGTCCACCCCTAGTCCTCTTCTGGGGACTTGGAATCACTACGCTGTGCGCGCGCCCGAGCCAATTTTGTCCCGCCCGCGCACCGTCTCGCGAGTCGCGGGCGGGGGCTGCGTCGCGTGCGTCCCCGCGCAGCCGCAGTGCCGGACAGGTGGGCGGGGCCGGCTGTTGGCAGCAGTTGGCGGGGCCGGGTGGCGGCTGCACGTGCGGGCGGGGGCGATGCGTCACTGACCGGTGAGGCGAGGCTCAGGGGTCGCGGTTCTCCGGGTGCCTGAGACCAAGGCCGTCCTCAGTTGGGACCTAACGCGAGGGGAGCCTGGGAAGAGGTGTCACGACGTACGCCAAGCCGGGGGCGCGGGCGCAGGGGGTTGGTGAGGGAAGCCCTAGCTGAGACAGAGAGCCAGGGGCCGGAGCTCGGGGCTTCCCGCCTCAGCTCGCGACCGTACGCGGGCTCTTCACTGGGTGGGGACTGGCCTGTCACTCAAGGGACTAAGGTTCCTTTCCTCCCCATGCTCAGGAGGAACAAGGATGAATATGACTCAAGCCCGGCTTCTGGTGGCTGCAGTGGTGGGGTTGGTGGGGATCCTCCTTTACGCCTCCATCCACAAGATCGAGGAAGGACACCTGGCCGTGTACTACAGGTGAGCGCCGCCCTGTGCAGCCAGCGATGGTTCTAGAGCACAGAGAACGGGTCCAATGGTCACAGTGGAGTCTGGGAAGTTGCTCTTTTCCACGGCGTCAGGGGAGCGCTTCCAGCCCTGGGAAGTGGTTTCATCCCAGCTGCTGGGAGCTAACCTTTGGCGGAGCACCTTTCTGGCGTCGGGCAGTTTAGTGCCAAGTTCGTTCTGTGCACAAGTAAAGACACCTTAGAGGGGACGGAAGTAGTCACTGCGACCGAGATGACTCTTTAGAGTCCGTACAACTGTGCAGGTGTTTAGTTTGCCACTGTGGATATTTTTCGGGCTTTCTGGTCTTACTTATGACAGTTCTCCCCAGCACTAAGTTTTTTCTTCTCCTCCTCCTCCTCCTCCTCCTCCTCCTCCTCCTCCTCCTCCTCCTCCTCCTCCTCCTCCTCCTTCTTCTTCATTAAAAACCTCCTATTGTCAGGTTATGTTCCCACAAGTCTTGATGACCATGGCAGTATCATATCCCTAAAGCTCAAGAGACAAAAACCACATTTGCAGGTTACCTTTCTCACCTTTTTTCAAGTCAAGATGAGGAAGTGTGGACTCAGTTGCTGTCCACTTGATTTGGCATAGCTACTCTTCGGTATAAATTACCACAAGCTCCCGGTGGTATAGACTGGTAAGAGAGGCCAGTTTGTGGAGAACTTGGAATAGTGGTTTATTCTGAAACAAGCAGATTTTGAGTATTTCTATCATGCCCCCCTAAACTGGTATTTCTACTTTTAGATCTGTCCAGAATCCTAGAAAATAGACAATTTTGGTGGTATGTCTTTAGCAGATGGAGTTCTAGCATAAGAAATGCCAGCCTGGACCACATTTCCATCCAGTTTGTCATTATCCTTCTGACAGGAAAACCACGAAGAGAACATCAAGATACCATTCCAAAAAATAGCTAATGAACCTGAAAATGTTAATCGTTTTAATTATGACTTTCAAACCTGTTTATATATTCAAGACAAAGATCAATGTGAATTTACTATTCGTTGTGTAAAATAGGACTTTTTGTTGTATTTGTCCCCAACTTGCAGGGGGTGTTTTCATAGTTCACATATTTCAGAGTTTGATAAACAGACCCATCTCTCGCCTGTAATCTCAACCCTTCTGCAGACCATCTTTCCATGCTAGGTTTTGTTACCTTTATACAGAGAGTGTGTTCCCAGGATTTTACTCATGTATTGAAAGAACCATTAGCCTCAGAAATTTTTTTCTTCCTTGAAAGTTTGGTTTTCTCCTTTTTTAAACTTAGCAATTAAATGTATTGTTTTGACTTGTCTCTTGTTATGTGCAATTAAGGTACCTTAATTGAAAGTCATTAGAATTTTTCCATAAGTATTTATCGGAAAGCTAAAGACCAGAGAGGATCGTTTGAACCCAAGAGCAGTGCTGAGACCCAGAGGTGGGATTGGAGCTTATGAAACAGGGTGCAATATTGGCAGTGGGCTTGGATGAATTGTCACATTTTTAAATGCGCTGGATGTTTTAAGTAGCAGTTGCTGTATAACTCTGTTGTGAGGGTAGTAGGTTAGTAACATGAGTAATAGTGAATGTTTATTGTAGCATTTTGCATTAACAAGAGATCTTAACAGTTTTGTCAACTGAAACGTCTTTTTGCAGGGGAGGAGCTTTACTAACTAGCCCCAGTGGACCAGGCTATCATATCATGTTGCCTTTCATTACGACATTCAGATCTGTGCAGGTGAGTGATTCCTAGGGATTCCAGATAGACGGGTGTGACAGGAGTTGCCATTCTTGTGGGTGGAGATGGATTTCCTTATTGCTTAAGCAAATATTGGTATTTACTCAGATGTGGAGTGAAAGTTCATAGTACAACTGTCATAGCACAAGTAATGATTTCAAACCACCTTGCCTTGAAATGAAAGTGTACACTAGGCTGCTTGTCAAGACTGACTTCTGCCATCTGGTTAATGGTATTAGCAGGTTTTCTGTTACTGCAGATTTTTCAGGAAACGGGGATTAATATTATCACTTTAGTCTTCAACTTTCTGCTGAGAGTAACTATGAATAGCAAGTTCTCCCAGGTTTCTTTGCGCTCCCTTTTTAATAGCTTAGAGAAGGATTGTGTCTATTCAAGTAAAGCATGGTGAAGCATGGTGAACATGGTGTTCTTTTTCTAGTCACAGAGATTTCCAGATTGGCTTCCCATATTTTACTCAGACTTTTGAAGGTTTTTTTTTTTAAACCATATCTTATGCATGGCAATACAATTAACATATTAAATAGCACTGTAATAAAATGAATTGGTATAATTTTAAACAAAAAAGGGAAATATTTTAGGTTATAAAACCTCTTCCCTTAGAACAGTTATTTTATATTTTTCTAAATGGGTTAGTGTGACAAATGTTTCCAGTGACTAGTAGTTTGTATTCATTTATGTCTTGGTTGATGTCCCTTCTTCATTCACCATGCCTTCCTCCTTTCCTGTGCTGCCTGTGTCTTGCTGGCCTGTTTTAGGCTCATCCCAGGTTCTCTCTTTTGACCTTAGCTCACCAACAGCTCTTGATAATCCCCAAGTTAACAGTGGCATCATCAGGTTGAGAGATTGGGCTCTTTTTTAGATCTTGTTCAAAGCCAGGCAGCTCTGTCTGCCTTCCTGAAGCTCACTGTTAAGCTGTACAGTGCAGCAGTAAAATAAAGTAGATATAGGCAATAATAGTAAATAGACTTTTAACTATATATAGCAAATATACTCTGATCATCAAAAATAAGTGAAATTAATAAAAAGATTTCAACATAAACTATCATAATTTTCTGTTTTGATTATTAATTAAAAATTAAATCTTAGAGGCAGTGTAACAAATAGGAATGTCTTTTTTATGTAAAAAAAAAAAGGTAGAATTCAAAAATTACATTAACAAAACCCTTCTAAGAAACTTTTCTTGAGAACAGAGTCATAAATTTATGTTTTGAATTTGAGAAACATTAGAGGATGCAGTTCTATTTAAACAGACGGTTTAACATAATACTTGAAGGGACTTATATTCATAAATGTGAAATCCCATGTATAAGTACAGAGACAAAGCATTGCTTAGAGAAATTATATTAAAACTTTCACTTTTTATATACTTTACAAAGTAAATGTTGACTTACTGTTTCTCTCTTGTGTTTTTTTGAGACAGAGTCTACTGTGTAGCCAAGGCTGTCTTAGCATTTGTTATAGTACAGGCTAAAGCCAAACTTGCAATGCAGTCTCCTTAAGGCTATGGTTACACATGTGTGCCAACATAATATTTCTCTCATATTTGGAAAAGAATTATATAGATGTAGATATATATCAGTACATAAGATATTAAATTGAAAGGTTATTGTTTAATTCCTAGTTTTTCTTGATTTGAAATTTGATAGTGAAAATTGGCTTGGTTTAATGCTTTAAAAGAAATAAAATATACTGAACTCATTTATCAGCCTTCTCTCGTCACTTTATCCAGAATTTTCTCTAATATTACCATCATGCTAATCTCTCAACCAAAGAATTACACTTTATTCTTTCTGTGCTGGAATTGTATGTTCAGCCAATGATCACCTCCTTCCTTTGTTATGTCTCCAAGATTGATGTCTTCTGGTTTTTGTTACCCGAGACAAGTTACTTCTTTAGCTTCCTAGCTGGTTTTCTTGCCCCTCACTCAGTAAGCTGAATAACACCTGTATTACATGATCAGAGGAATTAAGGAAAATACCTTTTATCTTTCCAATGCTAAGAGATTAACCCTAGGGCTTGAACCCAGAGCTTTGAGCATTCTAGGCAAGTCTTCACCACTGAGCTCACACCTTTTGTATTTTCTTTTCCCAGATTGGGCCTCACTGTTTCCCAGGTTAGTGTAGAGCTTGTGCTCCTCCCACCTCAGCCTCTCACGTAGCTGGGATTATAGGTCTGCATGACCACTCCCAGCTCTGACAGTATCCCTGAAAGATTCATTTGATGATTATATACAACATGGATTAAAGAGCATTTAAACTGTTCATCAGACATTCAAGTCCTCAGCCCAGTAACACTGTGTTCTCTTCCCAGAATTTACCACTCATCGGAATAGTACCTTCTGATTTAGGCAAGCCAGTCTGCTCTGAGTGTGTACTTTTGTCTTTGCTGTGTGTATTTGAATAGGACATTAATTAAACTTAAGATGTCCCTCTTAAGTTCTTATTCCCCTTTTCTAGATCTGCCTCTTAATACTTAATTTCAGAGATCTTCTAAATGTTTTAGTTTTTAATTTCTGTGTTTGTGTGTGCCTACTTGTCTATATGTGTACCACATGCTGTAATGTCTGCAGAAGCCGGAAGAGGAGGTGAACGCTCTGGAATGGGAGTCACAGGCAGTTGTGAGCCACATTATGTGGGCTAGAAACCAAAGCCAGGCCTGTGAAAGAGTGTTGAGTACTTCTAATTGATGAACTATCTAAGAGAGCTTTTTTGTTGTTGTTGTTGTTGTTTTGGTTTTTTCGAGACAGGGTTTCTCTGTGTAGTCCTGGCTGTCCTGAAACTCACTCTGTAGACCAGGCTAGCCTCGAACTCAGAAATCCGCCTGCCTCTGCCTCCCAAGTGCTGGGACTAAAGGCGTGCGCCACCACCGCCCGGCCTAAGAGAGCTTTTAAGACTAGTATTTCATTCCTTGTAGCTTAATACCTAAGAGCTCAATTTATACTGTGTTTTTTTGTACCTACTAATATATTTCTTTGTAAGAATATTATTTTCTATGCTAGACTGTGATGTTTAGATATCAGGGACCATATTTTGTGTCCTTAACAAGGTGAAATGTGTCCCAGAATACACTGCTAACCTATTTGAGACCTTAGGTTACGAAGAACACTTAAAACCAGGTTATTGGTTCATTAGAAGGAAGAGGGATGGTGTTGGCACACTCATGTTAACGGCAAACTGAGCGAATCCTGTGAGAGAGCACTAGGTCCTAAAGCAAAACAGTGACCAGCTATGCTATCAAGTTCAAAGATAGCTTTGGTTCATAAAGTACTTGTGTGGAAAAATGTTCATTTATCATCATTGTGAATAATGTAATAGCCAGGAATCAAAGTTCAGAGCATAGATCTTGGTCATAGTGTGTGCTGGAAGTGAGGTGTGTAGTTTGTGATGTCGGGTCAGCTCTAAACAAAAAGATGCTTAAGAAAAACTTTCAGCCTACTAGTAGATTGGGCATTGAGTACTTCCTAGTGATTTTTGAATCCAGTCTTAGTTATAAGACATGTATACTCAAGTCTTTCTAGATACATAGAGAAATGGCTGACTTAATAGCTGATCTTTGGAAGCTAAAATCATGGAGGGGCTGGCTCTCTTGTACTCAGTGGCAGCAGCTCTCCAGAGATTGTTCTCTGGGATCAGCAGTGTGTGTTTTGTTTGTTTGTTCATTTGTTTTGTTTGCTTTTGAGACATGATCTCTCTACATAATTTTGGAGCTCACTCTGTAGACCAGACTGGCCTTGAATTCACAGAGAGCCACCTGTCTCTGCCTTCCAGGTACTGGGATTAAAGTCACTCCACACAATGCCTTGCCAGATCAGCAGGGGATTTTTGTTATTATCTTGTTTTTCAAGATAAATTTTTTTGTTTTGGTTTGATTTTTTTGTTTTTCGAGACAGGGTTTCTCTGTGTAGCCCTGGCTGTCCTGGAACTCACTCTGTAGACCAGGCTGGCCTCGAACTCAGAAATCCGCCTGCCTCTGCCTCTGCCTCCCAAGTGCTGGGACTAAAGGCGTGCGCCACCACCGCCCGGCTCAAGATAAATATTGATGAGCTATTTTTTTTTTTCCAGACAACACTACAAACGGATGAAGTTAAAAATGTGCCTTGTGGAACAAGGTAAGCTTCCTCGTTTGTGAGCCAGCACCCTTTACTTTCTATAGTTCTGAGGACGTTCTTAGAGCTCTAGTCACTTGAGAAACCTTTGTTTACATTTTGTTTTGTTTTGTTTTTGAATCAGACAGACTCTCTTGTGGCCCTGGCTGGCCTAAGACTTAGTATATAGATTAGGCTGGCATCAAACTTGAAATAAACCTACTGCCTCTGCTTCTGAAACCCTGAAATTATAGGTATATGTCCCTATGCCTGACTAAGACACTAGTATATAAACATGATGCAACAGAAACTTCGGTGCTGTGAGTTATTTTCATGAAGCTACACTTGAGACCATTCCTTCTGAGGATATTATTGAAATGGAGTTTCAGGGCTAGCAGACTAGTCATATATTAGTGTTATCACACCCGGGTTGCTATTTTAATTGACAGGAAAATGAAGCAGAAAGTATAGGCTCCACATAGCCTTTGCCCTCCTGATACCTCAGTTAGCTTCTCTAAGCTTAATTCTCTTAAGTCAGGGAGTAAGACCTATGTTAAAATTATTGTAAGGGTTAGAATTTGTGTATATGGCTCAGAACTTGGCTTTGAATTGATGTTCAATAAAAGATTACTTAAAACAAAATCATTTCACTTCTCTTTATAATGTTAAATGACATCTGAGAGTTTCTGAGTCAGTAAGTAGGTCTTTGATAGAATTTATATTTCTAATGAAGTTCCTAACTACACTTACACTTTTGGTCTAAAAGCCTCTAAGAATTGTTGTCCTAAAAAGGTTGAGGTCAAGGAAGGAAACAAGGCTGGTTTATCACTAAAATATACTTACTGAATTAAATTGTATCAAGTGAGGAATGTGAAATACGAGGCAGTTTTTTAATTACCTAGTTTAAATGACTTAAAAAGTATTGCTTTGGGCTGGAGAGATGGCTCAGCGGTTAAGAGCACTGACTGCTCTTCTGGAGGTCATGAGTTCAAATCCCAGCAACCACATGGTGGCTCACAACCATCTGTAATGGGATCCAATGCACTCTTATGGGGTGTCTGAAGACAGCTACAGTGTACTTACATATAATAAATAAATAAAAACCTTTAAAAAATATATTGCTTTTACAAACCTGCAAAGGCACCTTTGACACCTGTAGAGGGACAGAGGCTTTTTACAAGGGACAAAGCTCTCTTGTATTTAAGTTAATATGTCAAGTTCTCCCTAGGTTTTAAGTTAGATTATGAAGTTCTCCCTAGGTCTGTCTGTAGCTTGTTTGCTTTGTTATTTTTATTGTGGCTGTGGCTCACATTCTCCATTGTTTGTTTTTAGTGGTGGAGTCATGATCTATATTGACCGAATAGAAGTGGTTAATATGTTGGCTCCTTATGCAGGTAATGTTAACTCTCTACTGTGTTTCCATCATTATAACCAGGGTACTTACAACTGAGGAAGGAGAGTAAGGTACTTTGTAAAGTTTTACTCCCTCGGTGATCCCTGATGAGTCTAGAAGAATGATCATGAAAGTATTTTTATTTCAAGGAAATAGAGGTACCAACAGGTCACAAGTTCTGGACAGAATTAGTTAAAAAAAAATGGTATTGTATCCAGTTTGTTGGGGAAGAATTTCTTTGTGTCCTCAAGATCTATAATTGATCAGTTTTCTTGGGTCACACTCATTTGTCACTTTCTAGTTGTGATTTGCCATAACTTACAAAGCAGTCTGAAAGTTTGTAGTATAAGGAAGCATTTTCTAAGTAAGACATGAACACCTAAGAGATAAAGTGGATACACATTATTATTATTATTATTATTATTATTTGTTATTATTTTATTTTTTGGATTTTTGAGACAGGGTTACTCTGTGTAGCCCTGGCTATCCTGGAACTCAGTCTGTAGACCAGGCTGGCCTCGAACTCAGAAATCCGCCTGCCTCTGCCTCCCAAGTGCTGGGATTAAAGGCGTGCGCCACCACTGCCCAGCTGGATACACATTATTTAAAAACAGTTTGGGCTGTGGAAGGAGATGGCTCAGTCTGTAAAACATTTGTTGTGCAAGCTTGAGGATCAGAATTCAGTCGTAAGCACCCATGAGCTTAGTATAGTGGTGTGCACTTGTAATCCCAGTGCTGAGGCAGAATCAGGAAGATCCCTGAGGTGCAGAGGCCAGCCACTCTACCCTAATTAGTGAGAACCTTAGGGATGACACTTGAGATTGATTTGTGGTTCTCGTGTGTGTGTGACACAAGAATTTAATTGCAAATTTTGAAAATACCTGCTCTTCATCCTTGTGAACAAATTGGCATGCCAAATAAACCAATGCCTTGTGTTTTGCAAGAGCATCAAAAAAGTGAAGATGGTAGCCTCCACCTTTAAGATGTTTTCATTGTACTTGAGAAGACATGATAGAAAGGGGGAAACATGTATTGAAATATAGGTTCATGTTAAAGTTCATATCACTTGTACAGACACAGATAGTGGAAAGATTCCAGAGCAAAGAGTTGTAAGTATATTATTGTCGAGTAGTTTTGAATGATATTTTTGACAGTTATTTTCCTCGTGCTGTCTCATCTACAGTCAGCCCTCTGACTGTGGCTTATGCATCCACAGGTCCAACCAAGCACATATCAAACACTGAGGGGAAAAGCTGAATCTATACTAAACATGTAGAATTCTCCCCCTGTTTTATTCCCCAGACTGTTCAGTGTAGTAACTGTTGATGTGGTAATTATATTAGCTATTGTATAATCACCTAGACATGGCAAAGTATACAGAAATATGTGCAGTTTATATGCAGATACTACTCAGTTTAATAGAGAGACCTAGACATTTGTAGACTTTCAGTATCTCCAGAGGATCTTGGAACCAATGCCCCCACAGAGAGCAACAAGTGACTGACTGTGTTCTCTGATTACAAATCACTGGAGTGGATATGATTCAGAACTGAAAAAGAGAAAAGCTGATGACTCTCTCAGACACTGGACCACCAAAAAGGCAGCATATACCAGCTGATATGAGGCCCCCAACACATATACAGCAGAGGACTGCAGGGCCTGTGTTCAATCAGATGATGCACCTAACCCTCAAGAGACCAGGGAGTTTAGAGGTCAGATAGAGTGGGGTGGGGGGTAGGAACATCCTCATGGAGATGGGGTGGGTTGGAGGTATGGGATGTAGAACAGTTGGAGGGTGGATGGGGGTGGGGTGGCAGGGAATAAAATCTGGAGAGAAATAAATAAATACCCGCTTATGAATTTTTAAGTTAGCATATAAACTAATGGATTTTATTATGTCATTTTCATGTATGTCATTATACTTTATTTTCATTAACTCCCATCCCCCATGACTCATCCCATGTGCCCTGTCACATTCTGGCTGGTTCCCTCCTTCTAGATAATCCCTTCTTTCATGTCATGTATATTTCTTTTTGTTTTGGTTTGGTTTGGTTTGGTTTGGTTTTTTGAGACAGAGTTTCTCTGTGTAGCCCTGGCTGTCCTGGAACTCACTCTGTAGACCAGGCTGGCCTCGAACTCAGAAATCCGCCTGCCTCTGCCTCTGCCTCCCAATTGCTGGGACTAAAGGCGTGCGCCACCACCGCCCGGCTTCATGTCATGTATATTTCATTACTCTTAACCTTTCTCCCCTTCCTTAGATCTCTTCTTGACCTCTCATGAGCTTTTTTCTGGTTGTGTGATACACACACACATATGCACAATATTAATCTAGATTCTAAGTATGAGAGAAAAATTGCAGTGTTTTTCTTTCTGAATCTGGTTTATTTCTTTTAATACAATGTTTCCAGTTCCATCTGTCATGAAAATGTCATTATTTCATTTTAATTTAACGGCTGCATAAAATCCCATTGTGTATATCTACTACACTTGAAAGATCCATGTATCTGTTGATGGACACCTAGGCTAGACCCAGTTTCCGACTGTTGTGAGTGGTGCAGCAGTGAGCATGGATGTTGAAGTAGAGTCCTTCAGGAATATACCTGAGGAGTGGCATGGTTGAGTTCTCTGATAGTTAGAAGTCTCCGTATTGATCTCCATAATGTTTGTTCAAGTAAAAGCCACCTTTGAAAAATTAACTATGCACATGTATATTTTTACATACTTTAAGTTGCATGTGTCTGTATTTGCAGCAGCTTCCTTTCACTCCTGCTGTTTTTCAGTTCTATCTTTATCTCTTGACTGGAGCTTTGCTGTGCAATTGCGTATGCTTTCCTGCGTCTCAGTTCATCTTCACACTGCTGCATGAGTACACATCTGACCGACTGTCATCCTTTCCTTGGGTTGGCCACTTGTCTTTTCCTTAGTATAGAATTTGGGATCTTCTGTTAATGCTGTGAATGCAAGAAAATATGATAAATTGAGCCCAAGAATGTAATGCTTTCACTGTTGTGCTTTATGTTTTCACTATTGTGTCAATGCTTTTCCTCATGGATAATATACCACTTTTTCATTACTGAATTGGAAGATAGTTGGGTCATTGATGGGTGAAACAAACATGAATTTTATTTATTCTCCTTCAGTGTTTGACATTGTGAGGAACTATACTGCAGACTATGACAAGACTTTAATCTTCAATAAAATCCACCATGAGCTGAACCAGTTTTGCAGTGCCCACACACTTCAAGAAGTTTACATAGAATTGTTTGGTAAGTGTTAATTTGTTTTAAATATGTAAGAAGACAATTAACAATTAGAAATCTTATTAACTTAAGTATTGATACTGTAATGTTGGTAAGTCTTGGGCCATTTGAGCATTTTGTCTGAATTTTTAATAGCTCAAGTATTTTTAAAGGCCTTTGTTTTTGTCTTGTGGTGATCTCTCTCTCTCTCTCTCTCTCTCTCTCTCTCTCTCTCTCTCTCTCTCTCTCT